GAAGGTATTTACATCGTTTGTGTGTTGAGAGGAAGATCCGCTATCTCTATGGATTTGTTGACCCTGTTGCCATTCGAGTCCGTTGGGAATAAAGTCGAAGAGGTGCAAACGTACTTAATAGAGGCATTTCAAAATGGGGGCAAAGAATTCTACTTAGCACCTTACTTGCATCGGTAAGTATACATCTTGTAAATTAATGCACATTTATGTAAAATTGAAATTTTACTAATATTATTGCAACGTGCAGGGGTCATTGGCAGCTCATAATAATTGTTCCTCGCCAATTTCTTGTGATTCTCTTGTGTTCATTACACAAGAAACCAAATGATTTGGATATTAGAAAGCACATAGACGCGTAAGTTTGGTTGTTTTTAATTGTTGTATCATATGTGCACTACTTACACCAAAATTATTTGTCCTTTTGTAGAGCTTTGGAAGCTCACCTAAGGTTGCAAGGTCTTCCATCTCATGCTAGAAAGAAGTTGACGTATATTGCACCAAAGGTGACCAAACACCTCTTACTGTTGTTCAATTTGTCATTTAAAGTTAATCTGACATGTATTTAACTTGTAGTGTCCACGCCAACCGGGAAGCCATGAGTGCGGGTTTTATGTGATGAAGCACATGCACACCATTGTAGCCAAAAATATTCTTGACACGTGGAGGGAGGTAAATATACTATAATTAAGTCAAATATGCCAATTATGTAAATGATTTCTAAATCTAAAATGTTTCAATATGTAGGAATTTACAGACTCATCTCCAATGAAGATTGAAGTCTTAGACGATATCGAGAGCAATGGGCTTCTTTCCTTTTAAGCATTCAATCTTCATAGGAAATTTAACTTGTAACAATTTAGATAGAATTGATTTAAGTTAGGAAATTTACATTCGTTTAAGTAAATGAACTGTCTGGAACTGGATCTGTCTGTACATATATTCATTTCAATGTGTTTCATATGTACATATCTCGTCTACAATCGAATCTGTTCATGCTTGGATATATATTTGTAGCAAATTTATATATGAACTGTGCATATCTGTCTGCATCGGATCTGTGGTTATTTGTCTGGAACTGTGATGAATAGGCAGGTCTACTCGAAGAAAGGTAGCATTTGTAAATAAAATGCAGGTATTTAAAAAAAAAATAACACTTTCTACGTCGGTTATGTCATTACCCGACGTAGAAAGTACTTTCTACGTCGGTTAATGGCATAACCGACGTAGAAAGTGTAACATTTTATGTAGGTTATAGGCATAACCGACATTGATAACACATACAATCACGGTTACTGTTAACCGATATACATAATGGGGTTATAGAAAGTTAGAAAGTAAGACTTTCTATGTCGGTTATAATTGTAACCGACATAGAAAGTAAGACTTTCTATGTCGGTTATAAGTGTTAACCGACATAGAAAGTATTATGACAGGTCAGAATCAGTTATGATCGATCAGATTAGCTTCATGACCGATCAGAACCAGTTATGACCGATCAGGATAGCTCATACAAAATAAGACTTTCTACGTCGGTTCCCTGACTAACCGACGTAGAAAGTCTTTCTATGACCGATCAGAACCAGTTATGATCGATCAGAATAGCTCTATGACCGATCATAATCAGTTTGACCGATCATAATAGCTCAAAGAAAGTAGGGCTTTCTACGTCGGTTCCAATTAACCGACGTAGAAAGTCTTACTTTCTACGTCGGTTATTAGGAACCGACGTAGAAAGCCTTACTTTCTATGACCCCCGTATCTATGTCGCCGCTTTAACCGACGTAGAAAGCCCATTTTAACCGATGTAAAAAGCCTTTTCTGCAGTAGTGATATTGAAATTTCAGTTCACTAACAGAACTTCCAAATATAGTAACATAATTTATTTATATATTATACATGTAAAAGTAGCTCCCTCGAAGCTATCCCACTCGAACTATCCTCGCTGTCCAAGTAGTCACATCACCATCTCTCAACTCCCGATCTCGCTCCCACATAAAAGTGATCATCGCAGTCCCATCCACATGGAAAAATAGGGGTAAGGATTAAATCATTCGATATAATAAAACGAGATATAGAAGTAATAATTATATATTATGATCAATTACGAAATTATCAACACACTAAGACACCTTCCGGAAGTATACCCTAACTATGCCCGAACTCGGAGGCTATCATCTGTGGGCACATTGTGATCGGTACCCGCAGTACCATTCTGATCACCCTCCACACAGAGTAGGATTACTGGCGCCCTTCATCACTCATATTGGAGTACCCCTCCGAGCGCGCCACCAGTCATCCCCCCATCGACTTCTCACCACCTGATCTCGTAGTCTACCTGACCCGACCAATCAGTGAAGTCTGGGACCTCATTCAGAATTCTCCGACATAGTTATTACACTAATGTACTCTGTACCACCCCAAGTACCATTCAAACATACAAAATTTATTCACATTTGCCGGATTCTGGACCACCTGTCCTCACGGCTCATTCGGGTCAATAAAAATAGTATTTGACTGATTCTGGCACCAACCTTCTGGCTCATTCTAGCCAATATATAACGTCTCAGGACTGATTCTGGGCATCGACCCTCGAGCTTAGTCCGACTCACACACGTCACAACACTCTACTTTCATTCTCTCTCTCTCTTTATATATATATATATATATATATATATATATATATATATATATATATATATATATATATATATATATATATATATTCCTAAAATCATTTCGAAATTATTTCAGAAACTATTTCCGAAACTATTTTCGAAATCATTTTCGAAATCATTAAATTACTATTTTGCCCTTAATCTTTTCTTAAAATTCCATGTATGTCCCTAAATGACTATTTTACCCTTGGACATTTTTGAAAATTCCATTTATGTCCCCGTGATGTAAAATGACTAGTTTACCCTTGATCTTTTTAAAAAATCCCCACCATATCCCTTTCTTCTTCCTTCGCTCGCTCAAGCGAGTACACCGGTTGCTTGAGCGATACAGAACCCGAGAGTCCCCTTTGTTTGAAGGCTTCGTCGCTCAAGCGAGTACACCAGTCGCTTGAGCGAGACATGACCCGAGAGTCCCCTTTGTTTGAAGGCTTCGTCGCTCAAGCGAGTACATCGGTCACTTGAGCGAGACAGGACCCGAGAGTCCCAAATTTTCCAGGCGTCCTCGCTCAAGCGATGTATTTTTCGCTTGAGCGACTTTTGCAGATTTTCCAGTTCGCCATTTTCGAAATCCAGATTTCAAATTTCTCAGTTTCAATCACCCAAATTAGTTCCAAATCAAAATTTAACCATAAACATGTTCAATTTAAGTTAAAAACAACAATTTTAGTATATAATTCATCCTTAATTTCAATAATTAAAAAAAAAACTTTCAAACGATGAACTGTTCATCAAAATCAGAAATTCTTCAAAATTAGACATTCTTCAAAATTAGACATTCCAATACTTTATATCTCTACTCCTATTCCTTATTCACAGAGTACCTAACAATTCAATTTCATATATTGAATGAATTAAACTTCCCCTTACTTGATATGGTATTTCTACCGAAGCTTTCCCACTTAATTCAAGTTCTCTCCCGTTTCACCAGATCCTGCACGAGTAGAGTCTCGTTGCTTGAAATTTAGACAATAGAAGAAGAAGGATGAGAGGAAAATTTTTTATTTTCCTCCTCCCCGCTTCAAGTATTCATATATAAGAAATTTTTTATCAGTGCATGAGGAAAACTTCGTTAGGAAGTTTTCTTGCACGAGTAATATTAATATAATATTAAAATAAGGCATTCGTGACATTGAAGTCAGGTTTAATCATGTTTTTCGGTTTTAGAAATTCGCATTTCCATATTTAATTTTTTATTTAAAAAAAAATATTTTTGACAAGAGATTATTTATACCCAATTTTTTTTTCTGTATCGGTCATTTCTTTTGTAATTTGCAACCATTTAGTTTATTTAAAAAATGTAACTTTTTGTATCAGTAAAAATCTTAAGGTAAGAAAATTGTCGAATGGTTTGAGCAACTAATTTTTACACTCTGTTTTTTTTTTTACCTTATTCTTCATATTTATTTCAAAATTTTACAAGGAATAATAAATTTAAAAAGTTACATAAATGAATCATGTTTAAAACATTATATATATGGATAAGTCATGTTTTATAAATATATTTTAAAAAGTTAATTCTTTTAAATATTACTTGAATATTTTTCTTATATCTTGTTGAAATCGATAGTGTTTTTATTCATTATTTGTTTCTCTCAGATGGTTTATTTATGTTCATTTAAACACCTTCTGACTCATCCCAGCTGGCACATGCTAAATTGATATAAGATATTGTGGAAGTAAAAATAGGAGTTGTTGCATTCTGTATTAATTAATGGTTTTTGACAATGAACACTTGAAAAAGCTAAAATTTCTGATGGACCCTTCAATGTCTTGTTTGTTTAGGAAAGATGACTAGTCAAAGTTCTGAGCTATGAAAAGTAGACACACATTTCTTTACTTATATATCAAAAACCTTGCCACAGAATTGAGGTAATTGATTTCCCATAATCAACTATATATCATAAAAATTAGAAAATATTTATAGATCGGGTAAGAAAATTAGTAATTTAATCAATTATATTGAATTTACCAATAGTTTGATATTTATCCAAACAACCTCTAAATGTAATGGAGTTTCATTCTCAACTTTTTTTCTATCTACTTAAGGGCATTTTCTAAATAACAATCTGTGCGATAAACAATTCAGAGGAGGTGAGCCAAAACTAAAAACTCCCTAAAAAAGATTAGAAAACTAAGAGTTTTTAGTATTGATTTAGCAAAATGCATCCATATATTTCCCAAAAGTAAAGTAAAATAAAATAAAATGTCGCTGACTTGTTGGCACATGGTTAGAGAGTAATCTATTCTTTCTTTGGTTCACGCTGATTTCTTCAAGCAAGGTTGCGTTTTAAATTTGTCATAAAGCATCAAAGTCAATCGTGTGACATGAACCATATCGACCACCCCAACGCCTTAAAAACATCATTGGTCTGTCGTTTGGTCTAAGACGGAAACACATTTACGTAATTAATAATAATTAAATAACGATGTCTATGTCAATTCTGATCGTATCAAGGACTCAGAAACTCATTAAAAACCATGGAAATGCTCTGAGAGAAAAATGAAAGAGCATTCAAAATGGAAAAGTTTAGTTCAAGTTACAGAACTTTTAGTTTCATTTATTATAGGCTGCTACTTTCGTTTCTTCTATTATCATCACAGTTCTTTCAACTTGTATGGTGTGGTTCCATTGTAAAGTTCCTTCCTGGATTCGAGGGACCCCTTCCCTTTGTTCTAGAAACCGGGTCAGTTACACTCAGCTACCAAGCCAGTGGTTTTAGATTTTAATTAATATTTGGTTGAATGAAACTGATGGACATGTTACGCTGTATTTGTTGAATAGGTACGTGGGAGTGGGTGAATCAGAAGATGTGCAGGCATTCTACTACTTCATTGAGTCAGAGAAGAATCCAAAGGAGGATCCTCTCATGCTTTGGCTCACCGGTGGCCCTGGTTGCTCAGCCCTCTCTGGCCTTGTCTTTGAAATAGGTAATACCAACTTTGTTTTTCATTTTCTGCTTTACTTTTTCATAGTACTTGTTTGTGTATGTGATAGGTAACAAGAGCTGAGACATAGATGTTTACTCTGTTTGAATGTTGCAGGTCCACTTGGTTTTAAAAATGAGGAGTATAATGGGAGCCTTCCCAAGTTGGTCTTGAGGCCACACTCATGGACAAAGGTGTCCATTATTCTTGTCCTTTCTTGTTGGATGAAAAAACTGATATTTTGGCTTTGATTGTATTTATTTCATCACATCCTTTTGTTATTATGTCATGCTTTTTTATTGGTATTTAATGTTTATCATAACTATTATTGACAGGTTAGTAGCATTATATTTGTAGACTTGCCTGTTTTCACTGGATTCACTTATCCCACAACAGACTCTGCTGCTCAACGAAGTGACTGGAAACTTGTTCATCAAGTCCATCAATTTCTTAGGAAGGTGTTCTTTTGTTTATTTCACAATCATCTCTTTTTTCTTTGCTTTGTTGCTTTGTTTGTACATAAATCTATTAGTTACCATTAACTGAATTGTTAGAGTCATGCTTAATGTTTGTAGTGGCTGATTGATCATCCAAATTTTTTGTCAAACCAAGTTTACATCGGTGGCGACTCATACTCTGGCATTCCTATCCCAGTGATTGTTCAAGAAATTTCACAAGGTAAACAAAACTCTTTGTGATTGAATGTGCACAACAAAATGGACTTACAAACACAGGTACTGTAGGTTGTTATGAACTGAACTATGTATGAAGTTTAGTAAATGCCAAATTCTCTTGTTTTCAGGAAATGAAAAAGGGGTACAGCCATGGATAAATCTCCAGGTTAGCATCTTAAAGCATCTCTTTGATGGTTGGTATATATATTTTCTACAATGTTTTTAGGGGAGAGTCAGAGTAATTCGAAAAAAATGGAAGTTTAGGAGTGAAAATTTCTCATATGCATTTGTTGTTTTGTTCAATGATTGAAGCCATGGAAATTTGGATTTAAGATCTCTTGCAAACTACTAAAGTGCTCACTGCTTGACCATTTTGCAAGTAGTAAGTTAATATTAAGGAGGACGAAGACGATAGGTGTATCAAATATTGTTATTTGTATCTCCTCCACAAGGAAAGTTCCAGAGAGAATAGGGCTGGGTTATATTCTTTATCAAATATCACTATTAGCACTTTTTCCAAAATGATCTTAAACCAATCATTTGTTATCTTCAACAAGACTATGAATGTTTCCTACCTCATAATATCATTAGTAGATTTTTCTCAATAATTCTGGAGTAAAATCTCTGCCGACAATTTTATTTTATTAAAAATATTTACTAATTTTGAGTATTTATTGATTATCTGAAACTCTTTTATCCTGCATGGTCATATGTTTTTCATCTCCAACATATTCCTCCAAATAATCTCGATCTGATGAAACGATGACTTTTATCATTTTTTATTTTGGTCATGATAGGGTCATGCAATAACAAAAAGTATTTTATAATCTTCTTCCAAGAAAATCAAATGCATTTATGTGCAATTTCACTTTCACTGTCCAAGAGTCATAATTCTTCCATTAAAGAAAGATTAGGAGTTTAAAAAAAAAAAAAATTCAGATATCATTTTTTAATTCCCATAATAACAGGGCTCTGGATACAATCGATGGAATTATGGTAGATAAAATAAAATAGAAAGGTAGGAAAAACAGTACGTCGTACTCTTTTGATATCTACACATAGATTTTAATAATCTCTATGGAATCGTGTATTTAGCTTCACCTTATTTTTAACACCATTTAATATAACAGGTGATAACCATTAAAAAATATAATATCACCTTTAAAGAATTAAATTATAAGTTTTTTATTTATAATTATTTAACTTTATTATTTTTACTCAATAAAATAATTAAAATATATAATTATTAACAACTAACAAATTTACTTTTCAAATAAAGTATTAATTTACTAAATTATTTCTCAAGTAAAAATAGCATACTATTATAAATTTATTTTTTCATCAAACTGAAATAAAATAATAAAATCACATGGAATATATAAAGTAACCATTGTTTTTCCTTTTGTAATAAAACGGTTGGAAATATTTTTTTTAATTAAACTAGGTATAAAGATTTTCTTTTAGAATAAGAAAAAAATATTAAATTATTATTTTGATTTAGATAATTATGATTAAAATATTATTAATATTTGATATTTTGTCATATTTTTACTTTATATATTCATAGTTCATAGAGTACGTGAATACAAAAAAGATGGAGACAGGCCCATATAAGACATATTTCATATATTAGAAATATACATACACACAATCCTACCCAAAATCTTAAATGGGAGGTTAGAGCTTTGGTTCTTCCGAGAAGAAGAAATAAACTTTTAACCTATGGAATGTTAGAATGTAATCTTATCTTGAAAGATTGGATTTGTGGAAAACTATAGAAGAGGATTACATTATTGATCCAGTGTCTAAAAATTCCATCATAGTCCAAATTAAAATTCAAAAAGAAAGAACAAATAAGGAAGACAAAAACAAAGTCATGTTTATATGCAAGTATTTTACAAATGATTATCGGAAACATAACTCTAAAGTCACCTAAAGAAATTTGAAATTATTTGTAAGAAGAAGATGAAGTACTATAATGAGGGATAGAAGAGCCCTGGCGAAAAAATCCCCAACAACCAATGAGGTCAACGCTATTACTGAAAAACAATACTCCATGAAATAACAATCGTTCAAGAAAGAATTGTTAAATATACAAGAGACATTATAGCAGATGTGCCTTAAGAAGGAGAAGATCGAAAAAAGATCTTGAAAACCAAAGATCAGATTCTCAAACAAAAAGACGAATAGCTTGGAAAATATGGTAGTGAAATTGAGAAGTTTATGGTTGAGATGAAAAAATTACAAAAATTGAAGGAGTTTAAACCTACTATGAATTTATCTGTGTTGAAAGACAATAAAATAAAGAAATATAAGAAGAAATGGTGTTTTAAGAAGAAAATGTCTTCTTTATATTATATTTTATGGAGAAAAGATAAATGAGAGGTTAAAAAAGCAAATTCCAAGTCTAAATTGAAGATTGTCGATGTAGAAAAGAAAAAATCTTATAGAAAGAAATATCATACTTGTTTGCACATTATTACAAAGAAAAAACACGATAGTGCAACAACAAAAATAGATATTAAGATAGAAGAAAATGTTGATAATATTATTTTATTATCTTTTACTTAAATTAGGTATTAAGATATTTTTAAAATAGGAGAAAAAGATATTAAGTTATTATTTTGATTTAGATAATTATGATTGAAATATTATTAATATTTGATATTTTGTGATTTTTATATATATATAAATATATAAATAAAAAATACGGAGACACATTTCATACATAAAAATGCACATACATTCAAAGCTACAAATCCTTATAAAAAACTAGACAAAGAAGAGAAGGGGGAAATGATTCCGTCCAAATTTCTTGTGAGAAAAGTGGAATTGTATGCGAACATTGATTAAATGAAAATCTTTGGACAGCCTATGAGATGTATCCTTTAACAAAATCAAAGAAACCTTCCCCTGCTTTAGTGGACAATTTTGTTTATTACTATTCCTCTGGTCAGAAAAGCTTCCAGGTTGATTATGAAAGAGTAAATTATAATAGTATCCTTTTGTTCAGGGATACTTGCTAGGCAATGCAGCTACTACTCAAAGGGAAAAAAATTATCAAATCCCCTTTGCTCATGGAATGGCACTTATTTCCGATGAACTATACCAGGTAATTTAATTACCATTCATCAATAGCTATTCTTCAAAATCATGTTAATGAAACCAAAGTCAAATTCTAACTAATCCCTCTTATTTCAATGAATAGTCATTGCAAGAAAACTGTAAAGGAGAGTACATAAATGTAGACACCAGAAATGTATTATGTTCCAGAGATATCAAGTCGTTCAAAGAGGTATGCATCTTTGATATTTGCTTGTCAGATTTTCAGCAGTAGAATTTCTAATCAAACGGACAATCACAAAGTCAACCATCGTTCCATTGTCACAGGCTACATCAGGAATTAATTCGGCCCATATTTTGGAACCATCATGTGAGACTTTTGATACTGAAAAATCTCGGAGGAGATCACTAATTAAGAAATATCCCACAAATAATTCCCTAAATACTCATCTCAAATTGCCATCCTTGAGCTGTCGGGTAATTATCAGGCCTAATTCTATCGGAAATGTTTACTTAATGCTTGATTTCTATATATTTATGCAAACATACTTTTGCTGTATCATGCATTGGTTTATTCATATACCATTTGTAAACTAACTATCCGTTCATCTCTGGTTTCATTTGATGCCCAATTCTCCACATATTTGCGTTAACTTGATATTTATTTCCTTTTTTTTCCACTGTTAGAGTTATGTGTACTTCCTCTGCGAATTTTGGGCCAATGATGATAATGTTCGCAATGCACTCCATATCCGTCAGGTGTAGTTGATACAAGTGACAGTAATTTTCCCGCATAGAGTTGGATAACAACTTCATATAACATAAAGCTCGGTTGCATGTGCTGCAGGGAAGTATAGAAAAATGGCGTCGCTGTACATTCGATATACCTCGCAAGATGGATATCCCAAGCAGTTATGATTATCATGTAAATCTCAGTAGATTAGGCTATCGTTCCCTCATATACAGGTCACTATTCTTTCCCTATGTTCATATATTGAACAAGGTAACAAGGTTGAACTAATTTGAATTTCACATAGCAAATAAATTTTGTATATGGCTAACAGTGGCGATCATGACTTCGTGGTTCCTTTCTTGGCAACTCAAGCATGGATAAGATCTTTAAACTACTCCATTGTCGATGATTGGAGGCAATGGAATACAAATGGCCAAGTTGCAGGGTATTTCACTAACTGTTGTTATATAATACCAGGCTTAATTTATCTAAAGCTGATAAGTTGAATACTTAATGTATCTAAAAGGGTAATTAAGTTATCTATCTGATTTTTGTCTGTGCAAGTAGATACACAAGGACTTACTCCAATCGGATGACATTTGCAACTGTGAAGGCAAGTCTTTGTTCTCCTTGCTGCTCTTGTAGGCCAGATTCCATTTGAGTATATTCTAGATAGGTGAACAAGGGTTTAAGTTTATTGGATCTGGTTTACACAAAAAATTTGAATGGTTGAGTCCATCTATCATTGGTAGAATTTAATAGTGAGCACTTGTTTGATTATTAGAATTCATGAACTATGTAGTGTAGATTGAATGATGGTTTTTCTTGTAACAATCAGCAATGGCGGTTTCTTATTGCATTAATTGTTGTTGGTACTGATATACTTTCAGGGTGGAGGGCACACAGCTCCAGAGTACAAGCCTGAAGAATGCCTTGCCATGTACAGTAGATGGCTATCTAACAGGGCTCTGTAGGAACAACCAAATAAGGTTATTTGCTCAGTCAGCAAGGACTAAACTTGGATCCATTTCATAGTAAAGTCTGAGGGTAGATTTCGTTCACCAATAAAGTCTGAGTTCATTCTTTGAATATGTAGATAGATAGACAGACCATTAATGTTGTATTAAGACCAATAACAATTGGAACATCAATGATATTTACGCTTAACTCCCTCATTGATTAGTGTATTGTTCTATGGCATGGACCAGTAGAAAAATATTTATATTTTTCATGCTAGAACTTTGTTCGTGTAAAAAAGTTTATCAAAATAAATCAATGATCAAGGAGTCGTTAGTACCTTATGAATTGTAGTGTCTAGAAAATTATTTTGAACCACACTCATAACAATATTTAACATTAGTAGAACATATACAACATTGGTTTTTGAATTATGATATTGAAAGATGCATAATTGAAAATTAAGAAAATCAACATCAATTCTTTTATAATTATGATAAAATGTTGACTTTTATTTCTTTTTAAAATGTTTGTTGTTTTGTGGCATTTTCCACATAGTAAATAAAATTCAATTAAAAATAAACATAAAAATTGTCAAATAAATATAAAACAATCTTAAATAATATATCATTTTAAATTTTAATAATTCACAAATAAATATTTAAATAATAATTACAATAATTGAAGTACAACACAAAGGACAATAGTGAGATTATGGAAGATGAGATTACAATAAAATATAAGTATCCATAAGAAAGGACAATAGAGAGTGAGTATGTGACAGAAAGTGAGGATGTATGAATTTGACAGATGACACGATAAAAGATAAGAGAACCTAATGAAGGAAGTGACGGAAGATGCAATGGAGATTGTGAGTGTTATATGTCATTCTGTTTTTATCTTTTAATAGTTAGTTCCAAAATAAAAGATAAGATTCCTAGGGACCAGAGGCTATAAATAAGCCATTCTTTGTAAAGTCAAGGATCATTCAGAAATTGAAAAAGAAGTTTGTTTCTCTTTTATCTTTGTGTATCAGAGAGAAGAGAGAGGTAGGGAAAGGTAATAATCTTTCTTTACAATTGGTATCAGTTGAAAGGCAACGACCATGGTGACCAACAAGGAACTCGAAACGCGTGTGGCATCCTTGGAGAAATCTTTTGCAGATTCACAAGAACAAACGAATACGACATTATTGGCGATGCAGAAAACTATGCAGACTTTAGCAGCATCCGTGGCGGCGTTAACAGCAGGAACCAACATTCCACCTCCGAATAACGATGAAAGCGAATCTACTATGTCAGTATTACATCGTGCACAGCTCCAATTCCCCAATTTTGATGGCACAAACTTTAGGGTTTGGCAAGCCAAGGCAGAGCAATTTTTTGAATTAGAAGGAACACCAGTAAACCAAAGAGGGAAACTGCTCCTGTTATCCATGGAAGGCAACGCCTTCGCATGGCAACGACATTACATCAAAAACCCCAGCTTCAGGTCGAAATCTTGGACCGATATCTTGCTTGATGTAGGAAACAGATTTGATGATGGAGCCTACGATGACCCTATTGCTGAAATCTCGCGCTTACGGCAACAAGATTCTTTGCCTGAATATCTTGAAAATTTTGATTCTTTGTTAGCGCGTGTGATGATCTCCGAAGGCATGGCTCTCAGTTTCTTCCTCGCAGGTTTGGAAAGTCCTTTAGAGAAATCAGTTCGTCTTCATAACCCTAAATCCATCCAAGAAGCAATACGTCTAGCACGATTACAAGATGATATTAATAAAGAATTAGACAAGAAGATCTCTACAGAGAAAGCCAAACGTAGATTGATTTTGGTTCAGTGGTTAACTAGCATTCTTCCTTTATTGAAATTTCCACCAAATATCACGGACGATGAATTAAGAGCATGTTTGAGCAATGGTACAGTTTTGTGCCAGATACTGAACAAGCTACGACCTGGTATTGTGAATGTGATTAGTGAACCTGATAATTCTCTGCCATCACAATCAGAAAATGTTAAATCGTTTCTGAAAGCTTTGGACGCAGTAGGATTGCCCCGGTTTGAAATATCAGACCTAGAAAAGGGGTCTATGAAAGCTGTTGTGGATTGTCTTTTAACACTCAGAGAAAAAAGTTTGCAGCTAGATACTTTGGGCCATATAAAGTGTTAGAGGAAATAGGAAAAGTGGCTTACAAACTTAAGTTTTCTTTTGGAACCACAACACATGACGTGTTCCACGTTGACAGACCTTGAGGACAAGATCTGCTTTCATGGGGGGGAAAACTGTTATATGTCATTTTGTTTTTATCTTTTAATAGTTAGTTCCAAAATAAAAGTGGAAATTAGATAAGATTTATTTTCTGTTTTATATTTTAATAGTTAGTTCCAAAATAAAAGATAAGATTCCTAGGGACCAGAGGCTATAAATAAGTCATTCTTTGTAAAGTCAAGGATCATTCAGAAATTGAAAAAGAAGTTTGTTTCTCTTTCATCTTTGTGTATCAGAGAGAAGAGAGAGGTAGGGAAAGGTAATAATCTTTCTTTATAGTGAGGATGTGACAGGATATGGTGAAGGATGCAATGGGGTCAAGAGGTCGTAACGAAGGGTGTGAGGATGCAACGGAAGATGTGATGGGATCGTAAAGATATGACAACAGGCATAAAGGAGACGTAACAGAAGATATGATGAACAAAATAAAGGTCTCAAGAATCTAACAAATGTTGATATGGAGACATGATGAAATACGACATGAAGAGGCGATACAGAGTGCGGTGGAAGACACAGTGTAGGTTAAGGGTGTGACAGATGACAAAAAAAATCGTTAAGGGACAACTAGGATTTACGCTCTGTTTCTTTCCACTGATGTACTGTTCACGAAGAGAGAAACACGAGGATGACACACGTTTGATTGAACCAAAATGCGACGAAATGAAAGCGAGGAAAAACGGGAGAGAGGAGAAAGAGGTTTTTCGCTGATGCACGAAGAAATGAGATGAAAGCCTCCTGGACAAATTGAAATGTCCAACTTACCCTCACTCTGCAAGATTCACTGGTGCGTGCATGCAAAGAGATTCTTAAGAATCTCTGCAAAAAGTTGAGAAAATATAATTTATATTAATTACTATAATATAAAATATATATTTCAAAATATAACTTATTAACTGTTTGTCCAACAGCATTTCTAGTGTTGGCCTCGTCTCGTGCGACCATCAATTCCTTCTCCAACTTTGCATTCTCGCAATGAAAGTTTGGTAACTTCCCCAGCCTAAGTTCTTCAACTCCACAGCAGCAGCAGAGGCCGGTTCTTTGGCATAAGATGCTTCTTCGAGAGCTTCGATTCCGCACATGCAACCCACTATTCTCGTTTCGATAATTGAACTTGTTCGAGCTTCAGCTTTTCGTTTTCAATCTCGTGAATAGTGAAAAAAATGTCAGGCAATTTAACCAAACCAAAACTGTAAATTGGACCAAAAAAAAACTATTGCTGACACTGGTATATGCAAAGATGTACTTCGTACAGAATCCTTAAAATTGATTTTAAATATTCGTTCATTTTATCAATTGTAACTAACAGACTCAAAGCAGCAAAAAAAATTTCGAATATAATCGATCATTTGAAAATTTAATCGATCATACTAAGCTGGACATTGATATATGATAGCGGTTCCACGTTAACCGCTATCTAAACAAGTTTTAGATAGCGGTTAAATGACCAACCGCTATCTAAAATACGTCTTAGATAGCGGTTAAATATACAACCGCTATCTAACTTAAATAGATTTTTTTTTATTTTGATAAGAAAGCAAAACTAACTAATAATAAATATATATATATATATATATATATATATATATATATATTCTCTAAAATATAATTTATATTAATTACTATAATATAAAATATATATTCCAAAATATAACTTATTTTCATTTATATATATATTATAGAAATAAAATAAATTTATATTTTAGATATATATATATATATATATATATATATTAAATATAAATTATTTTCAAGTTGATAATTATTATTCTAATTTATGCAATATATATATATATATATATATATAATTTATAAGATCGGTTAACATTTATTCTAATTTATTCAAATTAATTATTCATATATGGGTCACTTATAAAAAAATATTACAATATCAAATAAAGTAAAAAATTAAAAATGTTTAAGCATACAAATAAAAATTATATTTTACTACTTTCAACCATAATTCTAAATATATTATTAATGTAATAAATACATACTTCTTTTTAAAACTATATTTAAAACTATAAATTTTATATAAAACATTATAAAATTATATAGATATATATTTTTTAATTATATAATTATGATTTTTATAATATATAATTGAAAAATATTTTTTTTATTTTAATTTAATGTATATTTGAGAAATTAATCAATTATAATCTATTATTTGAAAAACTAATCAATTGTAATCAATTATTTAAAAAACTAATCGATTATAATTAATTATTTGAAAAAATTTCGAATATAATCGATCAGTTGAAACTTTAATCGATCAGAATGGCCCTGGACATTGATATATGATAGCAGTTCCAAGTTAACCGCTATCTAAAACATGTTTTAGATAGCGGTTAAGTGGGAACCGCTATCTAAAATACGTTTTAGATAGCGGTTAAATCTATAACCGCTATCTAATCCTAAATAGATATTTTTTTTTTTGATAAGAAAGCAAAACTAACTAATATATATATATATATATATATATATATATATATATATATATATATTTATTCTAAAATATAACTTATATTAATTACGTTAATATAAAATATATATTATTCTAATTTATGCAAAAAAAAATATATGTATATATAAATTTATATATTAAAATAAATTTATATATATTAAAATATATATAAATTATTCTAATTTATATATAGAAATAAAATAAATTTATATTTTAGAATATATATATTAAATATAAATTATTTTCAAGTTGATAATTATTATTCTAATTTATGCAAAATATATATATATATATATATATAATTTATAAGATCGGTTAACATTTATTCTAATTTATTCAAATTAATTATTCATATATGGGTCACTTATAAAAAAATATTACAATATCAAATAAAGTAAAAAATTAAAAAAGTTTAAGCATACTTCTTTGTAATAAATATTATTAATGTAATAAATACATACTTCTTTGTAAATTTGTTTCCAATTACAAACACTTTTAAATTTGTTTTTTTTTTAACTATATAATCAATGTTAAAATATGGATAATTAATTAAAAAATTATATTTATAATCATTTGAACCTTATTTTATACAAAGGGTAAAATGGTAATTTTCTTAAATAATCAATTAAAATTATAATTTTTATATCTCATATCAATCAAATCATTCACAATTTCCGATAAACTTTCCTTTCACTTTCCATTCATCAAAACAACTTTAATTTCATTTCCATTTCTCTTCAAATCCCTCCTTTTCCACTCTCTCAAATCACTCCAACCAAACAGAGCCTTAGGGTAGAAAAGAATAAAAAGAAAAGGAATAATTTTGTAAAAAAGAAAGAAGTGTTATGCAAAGTTATAAATGACTTTTAATATAGATTATAATAAAATTGATGTTAAATGTGATTTTTTAACATTAGTTACAATACAATTAATATAGAAAACTTGTTCTAAATTATAAATTTGTTACCATTTTTTATATTCGTTCATTTATAACCCGATATTAAATAGCATCGTTAAAAATTATTACAAATTATTTTTATTGTGTCGATTAAATATTGTTAAATATCCATATCCGTAATTATCTATATTTTTCTTTTAGAAATTCAATACAAATTTGGATAATTTGTTTAAAATTTGTTCCATATCCGTAATTGTCTATATTCTTTTAATATAGTAACATATCTTTTTACAAATAATTTTGTTTCTGTTTTTTATGTAATATATATATATATATATATATATATATATATATATATATATATATATATATATATATATAACATTTGTATCGAATTGAGAAAAAGTTAATTAACATCATTTAATTTCATCAGTCATTTTAAAAATTTATTTTCTGGATCTAGTGAAGATCCAATAGAATAAATGTTATTTTAAAATAATACAATTAAGATATAACTAGTCATCATTTATTTATATTTAAGATCTAAATTTTTATTGTATATTCAAGATGAAACATATATCTACGTTCTCAATTTGTTTACATATAAAGGAAAGTCTTAGATAGTATTTCGTATGGAACCCAAAAAATATTAAGTATATCACTAAATTTTGAGCTGAAATAGATAAGAGAAATTTAATAACAACATTCTAGCCACAATATGTGGATCCTCTAGTTAGTTCCGAGTAGCTAAAAAACCTCCCAAACCTAACTTTAAATATTTTATTGAGTTAATTACCCTAGATCTAGTTTTGAGGAGCCTAGGTCTCGTAAATCAGACATTAAGTATATTGAATAAATTCGCAACGCGAGAGTTGAGGTATTAATTATAAGCTAGATTTCCGATATTATAGGATTCCTGACCATTAAATATTGACTTATTAAATTAGTGGTCTCATGTTGGCTTTTTATTTTTTTATTAGGGGGTTAAAAAAATTTCGATTTTACTAAATGAGGTTAAATATTTTGATTATTACTAAAATGGGTAAACCGTGCAAGAGAAAACGATTTCGAAATGTGGAAATCGTGTTTAGAAACATAAATTTAACTAAAATCATGATTACAAGCATTTTGTTAAAATAGTACTTTCAAGCACGATCTCGTATTAAAAAAAAAAAGACGTATTTTTTAATATTTATTTATTAAATAATTTCTTTTAATTAAATTATTAATTTAATAGAAAATAAAATTATTTAAACATAATTAAATTTAATTTATTATATTTATATTAAGAAGATCACGATAATGATAATAATGATAATAAATAAAAAAATATTCAATCTTAATGTCATATACGAATTATACAACCACACTAAAATTTTTTTTAAGATCAATCATATAAATTAAGATAATAAATAAATCAAGATGATAAATAAAAAAAACTTCTTACCATTCATTTTTCTATATAATATTTTAATATAAATATAATAAATTAAATTTAATTATATTTATCTAAATAATTTTATTTTTTATTAAATTAATAATTTAATTGAAAATAAATATTTATTAAATAATATATTTTAAAAAAATGTGTTTAAAAAAATGACGTTAAAAAAAGCAAAAAAAAAATCGTAAAAGTACAATTTTTAGTGAAAATTGTGTGATTCTTCCCCGTTTTAACTCATTTTAAGAAAATTAAAATTTTTTAACTCTTTTCCATAAAATCAAAATTTTTTTAACCTCCACAAGTTGAAAATATAGAAACTATGCATGCATACGTAAGAATGATAGGAATTACGTATATTATGTGAAATGAATAAACGTATTTATACACAAGTACTGAAAACGGAAGAAAAACAAGTTTTGACTTATTTCTAACACACCCCCTAAGTCAAACTGGTTTTATAACTCCAATAGATTGTCTCAAATACCTAAACCTCTCCCCTTTTAAGGCTTTGGTAAATATATCTGCCAACTGAACCTCAGATTTATAGTAAACGATTTCAAGCTTCTCTTGATTGACTTGTTCCCTAAAAAAATGGAACCTAGTTTCAATGTGTTTGCTCCTACCATGAGCAGCAGGATGTTTTGCTAAGTTTATAGCAGATTTATTGTCCACCATTAATTTTGGACAACTATTCATCTTCACCGTTAACTCTTCTAAGAGCATTGCTAACCATGCAGCTTGACACGCAGCTTGAGAAGCAGAAATGTATTCTGCTTCACAAGAGGAAAGAGCAACAACAGGTTCTTTCACGGAATGCCATGAGACAGGTGACCCACAGAGGAAAAATATGTATCCAACAGTGGATTTCCTATCAATCTGATCTCCGCACCAATCAGCATCTGTGTATCCCTTCAGTTCAACACTTCCTTCGCACCCTTTATTTGGAAACAGCAAGTCAAGGTTCTTTGTCCCTTGCACATAACGCATGATACGTTTTACAACATTCATGTGGGTTTGTTTAGGTTCCTCCATGAATCTACTCACTATTCCAACTGCAAAACTTAGGTCAGGTCTTGTACAACACAAATACCTCAAGCACCCAACCATTTTCCTGAATTCTGATTCATCCACAGGTTCCTCATCTTCATTCTTTCCCAACTTCAACCCTGTTTCCATCGGTGTAGCTGCTATGTTGTAGTCTTGAAGCTTGAACCTGGTCAACAGGTCTTTTGCATACTTCGTCTGGTGCATTAAAATTCCATGATCTGACTGCATAAACTCAATTCCCAAAAAATAATTGAGTTCCCCCAAGTCACTCATTTCAAATTCAGTGGTCATCTGATGTTTGAACTGCCTGATATATTTCGCTTTACTTCCTGTGACAAGCATATCATCCACGTAGAGGCATACAAGTAACTTTTCTTCTTGACCATTGTTGGTCCAATACTTCACGTATAATCCTTGCTCTGTGGTGCATCTTTCAAAGCCAATCTGCTGCATAAACTGATCAATTCTTTTGTTCCAAGCCCGTGGGGCTTGCTTCAAGCCATAAAGAGCTTTGATTAACTTGTAAACTTTCAGTTTATCATCCTTAACCTCAAATCCTGGCGGTTGAGTTACGTATACCTCCTCTTCAAGCAAACCATTTAGAAAAGCTGCTTTTACATCTAGCTGATGCATTTTCCACTTGTTTAATGTTGCAATAGCGATGATTACTCGGATTGAATCAAGCCTAGCAACGGGTGCATATATTTCTCCAAAATCAGTCCCAGCCTTTTGTAAATATCCTTTAGCCACTAACCTGGCTTTATGCCTTATCACTTCTCCCTTGGGATTGACTTTAACCTTGAATACCCACTTCAGTGCTATGGGCCTTTTATGCGATGGAAGATTAACCAATCTCCACGTTCCATTACGTTCAATGGACTTTATCTCCTCACACATCGCTTTTCTCCATTTTTCATCACGCACAGCATCCTCAAACTCCACGGGCTCCGCCTCTGCTGCCAATGCAAAATGCACTGGGTTTCCTTCTTCAGTAACAACACCAAACATTTCATAATCTCTGAAACGATTTGGTTGTTGTCCTTGACGCTGGGATCTTCGAAGTTGTTGAACATCTTCTTCGGATTCAATCTCACCAGAATCTGTTGCATCATCTTCAGGTTCAATCTCACCAGAATCTGCTGCATCATCTTCGGGTTCTAGCGCAATAACTGGGACCACCTCTGCTGCCTCATTCACCTTATTAGTCTCCCACTCCCAACTAGAGGCTTCATCAGCTGATAGTTACACTCTTGGTTTCGGGGTCAAACAGCTTATACCCTCCAGTAGTGTGATAACCAATCATCACCATAGGCTTTCCTTTGTCGTTTAATTTGGTTCGCTGCACTTCAGGCACTTTATGGAAACACAGGGAACCAAAAACTCTCAAATGCTTGACATCTGGCTTCTGTTTTGACCAGGCTTCTTCTGGTGTAACTCCCTCCACCCTCTTCGTAGGTGTGCGATTTAGAATATAGGTTGTTGTTGCAATTGCTTCTCCCCACATATACATAGGCACGTTTTTACTTTTGAGCATACATCGAGCCATGTTGAGGAGAGTTCTATTTCTCCTCTCAGCGGTTCCGTTATGTTGCGGTGTGTGAGGCGGTGTAACCTCGTGTGTGATTCCCATTTCAGCCAGGAAGTTTTGAAACTCCAGTGAGTTATACTCACCTCCTCCATCAGACCGTAGTCGCTTTATCATTCAACCACTCTGTTTTTCAGCGAGAGTCTTGAACCTCCTGAATGTGTCAAAGACCTCGTTTTTTCGCTTTAGGCAAAACGTCCACAACTTCCTGGTGTAGTCATCCGTGAAGGTCACAAAGTACCGACTGCCCCCAGGTGTTTTCACAGGCAATGGTCCGCAAAGATCAGAATATACCAGTTCTAACTCCTTCGTTGTTTTGGTGGCAACGAATTTGCTGAACTTGCTCTTCGTTTGCTTGCATTGCACACAGTCATGACATGCTTCTTCTGGCACAGACACGCGAGGCATCCCTTCAACCATTCCGTTAACGTTTAGTTCACTCAAATTTCTGAAGTTCAAGTGACCAAAGCGTAGGTGTCACAACCACTCTTCTCTGTTCACTGCAGCTGTAAAACACTTATGGTTTAACGTAGTTATTTTTACCTTAAACGTACGATTGGATGATAGTGCAGCACAAATGACAAGCTTCTTTGTTTGATCATAGACCCGTAGGGAATTCTCCTCCAGAACCATCTTGAACCCTTTCTGCATTAATTGGCCAAGACTCAGCAAATTGGTTCGTAACCCAGGGACATACAGGACGTCGTCGACTATAACTTCTTCTCCTTCGAAGCTTCTTAGCACGACCCGTCCATTCCCTTCTGCATGCAAACAGTTGTCGTCTGCAAATCGCACCCGTTCTTGAGTCTCATTACTCAATTTCACAAACCACTCCCTCCGGCCAGTCATATGGGTAGAACACTTGGAATCAAGATACCATGTGTCATCATCATTGTCTTCGTTCTTGGTCTGAACCATGAGTAAGACAGCTTCAGAATCGGACGACTCTTCTTGTGCGAGATTTGCCTGGGACTGAGACTTGGGTTTGTTTTTCGCTCCATCACCATGCCAGCAGTCGCGTGCGAAGTGGTCATACTTCTGGCAGTTGTAGCATTTCACTTGCTTTTTGCCAAACACCTTGTCTTTACTCCCATTCCCATCTTTCGACTCTGGATCAGTCTTCTTCTTGGATTTGTGACCCTTCTTGGTATCTTTCTTTGGCTTCAATGAAGTTCTTGCTTGAAGAACCAACTCCTGATACGATTTGTGATCACTCATGCTCAGTTCGTGAGCCTCCAACGAGTGCTGTAATTCTTGAATACTCAGCTTGTCGATGTCCTTTGTTTCTTCAATTGTGATAATAAGATGGTCGAACTTTGGATGCAAAGAACGAAGAATCTTGTTTACCACGTGTTCTTGAGACAATGTTTCGTTACAGCTTTTCATGGCGTTAACCACACTCTGAACTTTGTTGAAGTAACTCGCCACAGATTTGTTGTCTTCCATTATCAAGAACTCAAAGCTTCTACGTAGGGCCTGCAACTTCACTCGCTTGTGCTTGTCACTATCTCCGTAAGTCTTGATGAGAATCTCCCATATTTCTTTAGCCGTTTCAGCCATTGAAATTTTGTTAAAGATCTCAGAATTCACACATTGATATAGCAAATACCTGGCTTTGCTATCCATCTTCTGCATCTGTTTGTAATTTCTCTTCTCTTCGTCTGATGCCTTGCTACCGGGATCAACGACGCCAACTTCGATCACTTCGGCCACATCTTGGAATCCAAACACCGTGCGTATTTTGATCTTCCAATCATCAAAACAGCTTCCATCGAACATGGGCAACCCTCCAGGAATGAATCCACCAAGTCCAGCCATGATTTTTGAACGTTTCTTGAAGAAACGCTATAGGTTTCTTTGAACTTCACACGTGCTTCACAAAAACACCCTAACACGCCACACACAGTCTGGCAGAATCATAACCAAGATAACCACTTCTGAACTCACGGACTGGAAGACTCCACTAAACCGTTCTGGCTCTTGATACCATATAGAAATTATGCATGCATGCAGAAGAATGATAGAAATTATGTATATTATTATGTATATTATGTGAAATGAATAAACGTATTTATACACAGTAATTAAAAAAAAAAAAAGAAACAGTTTTGGCTTATTTCTAACAGAAAAAGCCTTTCATGTTCGACCATAGGGTTCCAACAGTTGCCGAGATCTAGAATTCACCGTTACACAATCCCTTAATCTCAACACGGAGATGCAGAACTCTACCTGAGATTGTTAGCAAGATTTAAGCTTTTCATGCATCCTCCAATGATTACTGACATTTAAGATTCACTTCTAAGAAAAAAATGAGCAAGATAGGCTCAGCTACGCTACGTTGCAAGTGCAGAACTCAAATCAAAGTGGACCAGAGCTGGATCATCACAGGCAACGTTACATGATCCCCTTCCTTCCTAGAACCTTCACGTGCGTCTTCTGTACTCAAAATGGGGAGATAGACAACTGGATAAGGAATTAATTAAATAGTGTATTTCCGTTTATTACTTAACTCCCATGCGTTGCACGGGGTGAGACACTAGTTAAAAACTATGGAAATGCTCGGACAGAATAGGGAGGGAGAATTCAAAATGACAAGGTTTAGTTCAAGTTGCAGTACTGGTGGTGATTTCGTTTATTATAGGGTTCTACTTTCGTTTCTTCTATTATCCTCACAGTTCTTCTTTCAACTTGCATGGTGTGGTTCCGTTGTAAAGTTCCTTCCTGGATTTGAGGGACCCCTTCCCTTTGTTCTAGAAACCGGGTCAGTTACACTCAGCTACCAAGCCAATGGTTTCAGATTTTGATTTATGGGATTAAAATCATTTGGTTGAATGAAACTGATGGACATGTTACGCTGTATTTGTTGAATAGGTACGTGGGAGTGGGTGAATCAGAAGATGTGCAGGCATTCTACTACTTCATTGAGTCAGAGAAGAATCCAAAGGAGGATCCTCTCATGCTTTGGCTCACCGGTGGCCCTGGTTGCTCAGCCCTCTCTGGCCTTGTCTTTGAAATAGGTAATACCAACTTTGTTTTTCATTTTCTGCTTTACTTTTTCATAGTACTTGTGTATAGGTACCATCTTTGTTTTCCTTCTTTTTATATTAATTTTGCACCATATATACTTATGAATGTACCAGGTAAGGTAAGAGCTGAGACAGATGTTTACTCTATTTGCATGTTGCAGGTCCACTTGCATTTAAAAATGAGGAGTATAATGGGAGCGTTCCCAAGTTGGTTTTGAGGCCAGACTCATGGACAAAGGTGTTCATTATTCTTGTTCTTTCGTGTTGGATGAAAAAACTTATATTTTAGCTTTTAGTGTATTTATTTCATCACATCCTTTTGTTATTATGTTATGCTTATTTATTGGTATTTAATGTTTATCATAACTATTATTGACAGGTTAGTAGCATTATATTTGTAGACTTGCCTGTTTTCACTGGATTCACTTATCCCACAACAGACTCTGCTGCTCAACGAAGTGACTGGAAACTTGTTCACCAAGTCCATCAATTTCTCAGGAAGGTGTTCATCCATTTTTTATTTTTTTTTTATTTCACAATCATCACCTTTTTCTTTGTTTTTTATTTTGTTTGTAGAAATATATGCTAGTTAATTTACAAGCACGCTTAAATGTTTCAGTGGTTGATTGATCATCCAAAATTTTTGACAAATGAAGTTTACCTTGGTGGTGATTCATATGCTGGAATTCCTATTCCTGCAGTTGTTCAAGAAATTTCTCAAGGTAAAAAACTCATTTAGTATTTAATAATGGCCTCATTGCGTTAGGTTGCTATAACCATGTTGAGAATTTATTACTGTCATATTCCATTGCATTGGTTTCAGGAAATGAAAAAGGGATCCAACCATGGATAAATCTCCACGTTAGCATCTTCAACTATTTCTTTTAAGAATGTAATTTTTTTAATTAATTAGATCTTTAAAACTAAGATGTTGTTCATAACTTCTTTTAATGGAAAACTGAAAAGTAAAAGAGGCTTAACGAGGGAAAAACTTAAGTTTGTGTTCAGAAAAGTGAAATTGTATTTAAATTTGATTATATAATAAATTTTGGACATCTGATGAGAGATATCCCTTAACAAAGTCAAAGTAACCCCTCCCTGGATTCAATTGAAGAGAGATACTTGGGTAGTTAAGAGATATCCCTTATACAAGATCTTCAAGATTGATTATGAAATGTTCTTTTCTTCAGGGATACGTGCTAGGGAATGCATTAACAACTCGAAGAGAAATTAACTATCGAATTCCCTTTTCTTATGGAATGGCACTTATTTCTGACGAATTATACCAGGTAATTTCATTCTAATTCATCAATACCTATTCTTAAAACTTTTGTTGAAGAAACGAAAATCAAAATCTAACTAATCCCTCTTACTTCAATGAATAGTCATTGCAAGAAAATTGTAAAGGAGAGTACATAAATGTAGACACCAACAATGTATTATGTTCCAGAGATATCAAGTCGTTCAAAGAGGTACGCATCTTGGATATGTCCTTGTCAGATTTTCATTAGTAGACTTTCTAATCAAACAGACACAATCACAAAACCAACCGTTGTTCCATTGTCACAGGCTACATCAGGACTTGATAAGGCCCATATTTTGGAACCAGCATGTGAGACTTTTGATACTGAAAAATCTCGGAGGAGATCACTGATTAAGAAATATCCCACCAAGAATTCCCTAAATACTCGTCTCCAATTGCCACCCACGAGCTGTCGGGTTATTTTCATGCCTTATGCAATCAGAAATGTTTACTTAATGCTTGCATTTATGCAAATATACTTGTGCTATATCATTCATTCGTTTTTTTGTATACCATTTGTAAACTAACTATCCATTCATCTCTTGGTTGCATTTGAAGACCAATTTTCCCCATATTTGTGTTAACTTGACGTTTTCTTTCCACTGTTAGAGTTATGCATACTTCCTCTGCGGTTTTTGGGCCAATGATGATAATGTTCGTGCTGCACTGCATATCCGTCAGGTGTAGTTGATATAAGTGACAGTAATTTTCCCACAAATAATTGGATATACAACATCATTATAACATAAATCTTGGTTGCATGTGCTGCAGGGAAGTGTAGGAAAATGGATTCGATGTGAACGCGATATAACTAACAATCAGAATATCCCAAGCAGTTATGATTATCATGTAAATCTCAGCAGATTAGGCTATCGTTCCCTCATATACAGGTCACTATTCTGTCCCTATGTTCATATATTGAATACGGTAGCACAGTTGAACGAATTTCACATAGCTAACAAATTTTGTATTTTGCTAACAGTGGTGATCATGACTATCTGATTCCTTCTTTGGCAACTCAAGCATGGATAAGATCTTTAAACTACTCCATTGTGGATGATTGGAGGCAATGGCATACAAATGGTCAAGTTGCAGGGTATTTCACTAACTGTTGTTATATAAAAACCAGGCTTAATTTATCTAAAGCTTATTAAGTTGAATACTTAATGTATCTAAAAGGTAATTAATTTATCTATTTGATTTTTGTCTCTGTGCAAGTAGATACACAAGGACTTACTCCAATCGTATGACATTTGCAACTGTGAAGGCAAGTCTTTGTTCTCCTTGCTGCTCTTGCAGGCCACATAGAGATTCCATTTGAGTATATTCTAGATAGGTGAACAAGGGCTTAAATTTATTGGATCTTGTTTGCACAAAGTCCATCTATCATTGGTAGAAATTTAGTGCGCACATGTTTGATTATTAGAATTCATGAACTATGTAGTGTAGTTTGAATGATGGTTTTTCTTGTAACAATCAGCAATGGTGGGTTCTTACTGCATTAATTGTTTGTACTGATATACTTTCAGGGTGGAGGGCACACAGCTCCAGAGTACAAGCCTGAAGAATGCCTTGCCATGTACAGTAGATGGCTATCTAACAGGGCTTTGTAGGAACAACCAAATAAGGTGATCTCCTCCCTTGGCAAGGACTAAACATGGCAAAGCTCCTGCTAGATTTTGTTCACTAGTAAATTTGGTTGGCAAATACTCTGTATCTTTTCTTAATATAGCAAGTAAACATCTTTAATTTCCTTCTCCTGCACTGTTAATTGATAATAAAAATTATAGTTAAGTGAGATTTTAAATTAATAAAAAAAACTATTGCCATTTAAGATTTTTATTACATTGATTTTAAATTAAAGTTTATTATTTTAAAATTATATGTACCCATCGTATTTAAAGTTTAAAATTATATGTGTCTACAAATTTTTTTTTTCAAGTCATTTATTATTTTGAAAGATAAACTATTAATACTTAACAAAGAGGTAATATATGCATAATACAATTTTCTAAAAGTATCTTTATGATTAACTTAAAAATATTTGTAAACTTTCTTTCATTTCTTTTATCTCTATCTGACTTTTTTTATCATCTACTATTCAAAATTGTGACTTATTGTTGGAAGATTGTGACTTATCTAATTTTGTTGAAATTTTAAATTTGAACTCTACTCACTAGTGTTATTAATCGTCCTTCCATCGTATGACGTGAGTTTAAAAATAAAATTGTTAGTTAGTTTATCATTATTTTAGACTTTTCTCGCATGTATTTTCATTATTGTATTTGAAATCATTCTCCTTCCCTGCACATAGAAATAAATGATCACATAGCTTTTCATTTTTATTTCTAATCCATTACCTCAAATAGTTTTGGACGAATTGTAAGAAAAGATAAATAAAGAAAAAAGAAAGATGTAAAATCACCAATACAGTACTATTACTTTATCTCATAATTCTCATAAACGAAGATAAAAAAAATACAAGAAAAAGTAATATTTAAATAATTAGAAGTGCATTATTTATTAATTTGTGTTTAAACCATAATGATTTATGGTTAAATTTGATTTATTAAGTTGACTTAGAATCTATCATTGATGGAATAATCTGTTTTAAGATTTTTTCCATGGTATAATACAAATTTTAGACATATTTTTGTTACATACCAAAATCATAAATATATGCTTACCATCTAATATTAGTTTTACTAAAATCCTACAAAGTCATTATAAATCTTACAAGTATAATTAGTAACTATTCTAAATGAATAAGAATAACTAATCAATTATCTTAAGGATCAATCATAAAGTCATGAATATAATCTATGACATATGTATTCGAGGGAGATGTATTCATAAAAAAAATTGTAATATGGTAACTAATTTTTCATAAGTATCATTATGGTACTTAATCAGTTTTAAATAAATATTAATTATCTTACCTGACCTTAACCTCTATCTATTTCTATTTGGACAATGGTTGTCATTTATTACATTACTTAAACCAGGATAAAGTGGAGTCTCTGCATCGTTAATATATCTTTATACACATACACTTGAACAAAATATTCTACTTCAACATCATGAATCATATCCTCCAAGTCACTCATGGTTGAATCAACTAAATCGTGATCAGATTCATTTACACATGACAAATCTAATAATTCATCATGTCATATTTAAATTGTGTAATTTTTAAGAAAAATGTCACATAAATATATGCTCCCTAATTTGCTCAACATTTAATAATCTTTCATTAAGACAATTAGCACATGGACACCTAAATTCTCCACCAATAAAGCTAGTCGAAGTGTTCCGTTATACAAATATAAAAAAAAATTCATTCCTTTCTCGTACTCATTAGTTAAACATACTTAATCCAACTTTTATCCATTTTTAAATTTTGTAATGTATATAACTACATAATTTAATTAACAATACAATTTTTCGGGGATCAGACATCCCCAGACTTAACACAAATTCATTCAAAAAAATTTATATAATTATCAATCATCGTAAAACTAACCCTAAATCAATCCATATATTAATCAAGACAAATCAGTTACTTACTAGAAAAGAATAATGAACTTGTACGAACTACCACCAAAGCAACACTCACATACCACCACAAGAGGAACACGACGAAAGGGAGAGAGTCATCGAGAGAGCAAGATATGGGAGGGAGAATGCATGAACATAGAGAGATATGCAAGGTGTGATGCGAGGAGATGACAAAGGAGAGTGCGAGAAGAAGATGCAAGGAAGTGAGAGAGTGAGCAAGATGGAGACGCAGAGAGTGAGCAAGATGGAGACGCAGACAGGATGAAGGAGGAGGTACGAAGGAGAAAAGGGGAGATGACGAAAGTGAGATAGGACGATAAATATCGTATAGAACATACAACAATAGTTAAAATATAACCATTGTTAAATAGGTAGTGTCACCCATATTTAACGACGAACTTTTAATAAATGTAGTTATATATTTTATATGATAATAGTTATTAAATAACTATTGTTATATAATTGTTCTTATTTTTAAAATGATAATCCCTAAATAATTATCACCAAAAGGTATAGTCGACTTTCATATTTATAATATACTAGACTTTTAATTGATTTATTTATTATTATTTCATATTTTTTAAATTTGTTAATTTATATTTCTGTATTTTTTATTATTTTAATCATTCAATTTCTTTAAAATATGATTTAATTCTATACCTCTAAATTTGATAGAGTAGTTTTAAAAAGTCACTTTAATATGGTTCAGTTCAGTGATTAAAGATTAAAATTACACTTAAATTTGAGAATTAGGATAATTTTTAAATTAGAAAAATTAAAAATAAATTTACGTAAATATCAAATAATAAAAAAATAATTAACCTTTTTTTTAATTAGTCGTTTATTACTGAGCTAGCTTATATGCTTTAATTTTTTTGTTCTCTAACTTTTATATATATATATATATATATATATATATATATATATATATATATATACTATATATATATATATAACTTTATACTAAAACTTTTTTTTTAAATAACAACATTAGTTTAAGTATTTCAACAAATATATAAAATAAAATAACAACTTGCATAAAATGTAAAAATTATTAGTTTTTGGTCTTAATACTTAACTAACTTCTTTTACACCATATTTAGAGTATGGATCTTGTATGAAGTGGAAATTTCCAGTAAGGAAAAGGATACATTATGACATGAATTTTAAACCTCAAACTTTCCACACTTGTAATTAATTTAATTAAATCAAATCAAATCAATCTAGATCTATAGAATAATATTCTTTAATAATAATAATAATAATAATAATATTAATATTAATTGATTTAAAAAAACAAAAAATAACATGGGTTTGAGTGTCGGAGTCTGACGCCAAACGTTACATGAGATAAAAATAAATTAAAATTAAAACTAAAAATGTAAAGTATTGATTTTGGCGGGTGTGAATCTGGCTACAAATAGGACCGACATTCCCCATCGGAATCTTCTTTCCACAGAACGCAGAACACCTGCGCGAAACGGAGTTCTGTTTTGGTTTGCAATCTCTGGATCCGTCGTGACTGACGGTATGGCCGCTTCCAATGGCTTCGTTGACGGCGTAGCCACTCCCATTCCTTCCGAATCGGCATTGATCTTTCTCGGCACCGGTTGTTCCAGCATGGTTCCCAATCTCATGTGTCTCCTTCAACCTTCCAACCCTCTCTGCTCCGTCTGCGTCCAGTCATTGTCCATCCCTCCTGAAAGAAACCCTAATTACAGGTCCTCCTCTTTCTCCCCCCCCCCCTTGCCCTTCTCTCATTTCAATAAACGCCCTCAATATCTCGATTTGCAGGTGCAACACGTCTCTCCTGATTGACTACTGCGGCGACGCCAACGATCACAAGTATATATTGATCGATGTTGGCAAGACCTTCAGGGAGACCGTGCTTAGGTGGTTCGTTTCCCATCGGATTCCGAGAGTTGATTCTGTGAGTTCGCTTTTCTCATGACGCCTTCTTAATTTAGAGATGGTTCCCTTTTGTGCGCAAGCTAATGGATTGTAGAGTGCAAAGTGGCTTTCGTTTATCTTAATAATCGATTGGAACTTTGGTGAGGATTGCATGAACTGCTAATGAAAAAGAAATTCGTTGTTTCTTCTTATGTTGCGTTTCGTACCTAGGCTGGCATGGATCCCTTTCAAGTCTTGGCACAATGTATGTATGGCATCAACTTGTTCCTTGCAATGTGTATGATGAATAGGAAACATGTGTAGGTCTTGTGCTAGTTATTATTTAACTTTTGAAATTTTGGTCATGTTTGTTATGTAGGAGAGAAATATGACAGATGAAATAAAGAGAATGTGTGGAAATAGGTAAGAAATAAAGGGAGAGTTAAAGGTGTTTGGTTGAAAAGAAAATTGGTAAAGAACTGACTTAAAAGATGCCCAACCTAGGGATGCTAGCATGACATACTAGTCTGAGTATGGGAGCTCTCTGGTTCCTTTAGCTTCCTCTATTTTGTAATCTTGGTAGATATTCGGCACAGTGAAAATTGAGTTCTTAAATAATACCTAGAAATAAAATTAATGTTACTTTTATTTCAGATTCACAATATTATTAGGAGACTTGGTCTGTCAGACGAGTGCAGAGAGTCAAAGGAAGAAGGTTTTTCTCCATCACAAGTTAAAAATCAGGGTAGTATATCTATAAAAAAAATAGTTATGATATTATAAAATTAGTATTTATTATCCATCACATCAGAGAGGGATATTTTAGAAGAGTTTGGCTATCTCAGTACACCTTATAGTTGAGGGATATTACATGTCAGATATATGTTGGTAAAGATATCCAGTTTATGCCATGTAGAGAGAGGGCAGATCCATGGTGGAGCTATCAAAATATTTCATAGGCAAGGAAAAATTCAGTTATGTTGTCATTTCTGTGAATCTGTGTTAGTAATATAATTGGTAAGGAAGGTGAGTAGACAGACAAAGCAATGAATCATACCACTACCAATTAACAAAATCAGAGTTGACGTTTTCCTGTTTACTTATTGTGAGAACGTTAGCAACTTGAGCAGAGCCTCTATAGATTTGTAGCTGCCAAATTGTCATTGACTCATTGGGTGATCTGAATATATTGGGACCATTCTGCCAACACAAAATTATTCACAGCAGCAATCATGAGGTTCAGAGAAAATTTTACATCCTTTCAGGAAAGAAAATCGTTTTGGAAAAAAGAAACATATATATGATTCATAAGCCATGAAACTTGGTAATTGTTGATATGAAACTCCAGAACATGGATTGATACAATTATGTGCATGCCATAGTTTTATTAACTTTTACGTATATTATTTCCTTGCAATTTGTGTTGACCTGAATCTCACATCCTCTGAAAAAAAAAATTGTGCTTAAATTGCAGATTATTTTAACACATGAACATGCCGATGCAGTCCTTGGATTGGATGATATACGTGCTGTGCAGCCTTTTAGTCCAACAAATGATATTGATCCCACACCCATATACCTAAGTCAGCATTCAATGGACAGGTAACTCTATTAGACTTATTGTTTTGTAATTTAATATTGATAATATTAACCTATATACCTGATTTAGCTAATATTACATGCAACTTCTCTCTAATTTCAGAAAACCTTCACGTATCTTAAGATTTAACAGGGCACCACTTCTAGAATGTAACCCTAACCATCAATCATTCCTGGCTCAATTGCAACATTATTGTCAGATACTCTAAATATCATGACTTTCGACAATTTGACCTTCATGGGTAAATGGGTTTGGGAAACACCCTATCTGGGACTATTGCTACCATTGATTTTAGTTATTCTTTGTATTACTTACTTAAACTAGAAGTTCTGACATATAACTTGCTCACTAGATAAACTTATAGTTTTTTTAGATATAGATAAACAAATAACATTTTATTACATGTATTTTCAAACTTTTCTCATCACATGTCTTTTATGGTTAATTAACACAGGGAGGTTAGTGACACGTTCTTTCTAACACACTCTTCATGATTCATAGAAGTTTATTGAAAATCATCAATTTTGGTGGGTCTCATTTTTAAATTAGGATTAGGAGAGTCATTAAATTAGAAGTGAGACCTCTCAAACTTGGTGATTTCTAATAAATTTCCGCCAATAATAAAGAGAATGTTAGAGAGATGTCACGAGCATTCCTCTGAACTCAAAATATGTTGTGATAGTCAGTCAGTTAATTTAAAACTTAGAATGCAGTATGGATCTTTGATTTGCAGTATAGATAATGTGATTCAATTCGAGTTTCTACCACAGGATAATTATATGCTTGAAAAATTAGCCTTTCTTAAATTATTTTATCATGCAAGCCTTTGTGCACTTCTCAACCATTGTATTTGTACTCTAGTATATCTGGAAAACAGTCTCGTCTTGAATCTTTATTGCAATGTAAATCCTGCCGCCAAATTGTTCCCCATTCATTTGATTTCATGGTTGACTTATGCTCTTCAATAGTTTAATCCATGTCTTAAATCTTTGCAACAGCATAGCAGAGAAGTTTCCTTATTTGGTTCGGAAAAAGCGTAAGGAAGGAGAAGAAATACGAAGGGTGGCTCAAATTGACTGGAACATTATTGCTGATGATTGCAACCAGCCTTTTTCTGCATCGGGATTAAAATTCACTCCTTTACCAGTTAATTTCCAGGATCTTTGTCCTTTGTGGTGAGAATGCAATACCCTTATATTATATGGATTTAACTTTCTCTTTACAAATGTAGGTTATGCATGGAGAGGATTACATATGTTTGGGCTTTCTTTTTGGTGAGAAAACCAGGGTGGCTTATATATCTGATGTTTCCCGGTTTCCTACTAGTACAGAGTATGGTATGTTTTAAATTATTTTCTTCTTGCTTGGACATATTGATCTATCTATATCTGTTCTAAGCTATAGATCATCCACAAGCAATCTGTTTTATCGGTCTTGGATAGCTCATTTTGGTTGTTTGGTGCATGCTGTCATTCTGTGTTTTGACAACATTTTTTTAGATTGCAATAACACCATCAAACCCAGAAGACAAGTTGCATGTTTGAAGCATGCATAAGAAAATTTTAAAATTGATTACTATTTTCAACATTTTATATCTAGCAATAAATTTCTTTGTGCAGTCATCTCGAAAAGTGGAGCTGGACAGTTGGATCTTCTTATATTGGATTCATTGTATAAGGTTAGTGGTTTCAGCTTTTCTGGGTTTAAAATATAAAATATGATGTTCATGCTGTGTTTTCCAGATAATATAACGTCAGTTATGTTCTGCCACTGAATTTGTTCTGATAATGTACGTGATATATCAGTGAAGGATCTCTTCATGCACAAACATGCACCCTTAACATGCAAAATTTTCTTCTTGTGAATATTTAAGGACATTTTGTATTTCTTATTACTTGACATGCTTGATATCATTATTGATAATTTTGAAGTGAGAATTTTCAGATTCATGTCAATTCATTCTGTGTTTAACCGTTTATATTTCTTTAATTTCTTGTCGATTCATGTTTTCTTGTTTATTCTTTGTGTTATCACAGACTGGATCACACAATGTTCACCTTTGTTTTCCACAGGTTTGTTTTCCATTGGTTTGTTTTCCATTTTAACAAAAAAAGTTATGTTTACACTTCATATGTCCCTGACATCGATGGTATAGTGTTATTAATTGGTAATTTTACAGACTCTAGAAACTGTGAAGAGATTGTGTCCAAAGCAAACACTACTTATTGGTATGACTCATGAGTTTGATCATCATAAAGACAATGAGTTTTTAAAGGAGTGGTCCAAAAGGTATGTATATGTCTTATTCTTTCTTGAAGTCAAAACAGTTGCAAATACATTTAGTAATAACTGACACTACAATCTAATATTAACAGTACCGGAATCCTAATCCCTTATATATATGTTTTTTACTCTATTACATGTAGATTTTAGAGAATAATAGAAATGACTCTTTAATTACTGTTTTATTTAGGGAAGGAATTCCTGTGCAGCTTGCTCATGATGGTTTGAGAGTCCCCGTAAATTTATAGTAAGGAAAGGTAATACTTCATTTTTTTCATAAGGGTAGTACTAAAGAACTACTTAACTAAGAAATGAATTATAAGCTGTTTATGATCAGTGGTGTGTGCATTTGTGTCTGATGTATCACTCCTCTTGGGATGGATGTGCCTGCTAAATGATCTCATTCATGGAATAGTAATTACCTTTTTCTTTCTCTCTCGTGATAGATGCATCAATAAATTGTAAAGGATGGTATATTAAGGCAATGGATAGGGAGTAGGTAAAAAAATGAGTGGGATGGTAAAATAATTCACTCATTTACTTGTTCCGTAGAAAAGCTCTTTGAAATTACTTTCATACTATAGAAGTAGATAAATTTGTGCAGTGGAGAGTAAATGAAGTAGAGAAGTTTTTTGTCTTCGAAAACAAGCACACCCTTCTTTTTGTTAGCCATTGACATTTTAGAACTGATTATGTAATACCAGACGTTGAACATATTATTACCTTTTCTTCTCCCCGTGTATTCCTTTATTAGCAGTAGCCATATTGACTTTCAATGAATATCGATGCTCTTAAATCTTAATATGTGCTATATCATATTGCAGGTTAAAGCATGTGACAATGTACACCGCATACTGTGATCTTAGTTAGATTGTAGTGGAACATTAATATTGTTCATAGAATTTTCTCATTTTTTGTTATAGTAAAGGCCACATTTTTGCTGAAGGTGGCATGTTTGATATGACAATGATAACTTATTTTGATGGAAATCCAGATTCTTCTGATCAAACTCGTTAAAAAATTCGAGTCTCAAATTTCTGTGGCAGTCACTGAGTCACCACGATGAGACTAATCTGCTGTCCAAATGTTGTATTATTCAATTGTACTGCGTTGTTATAAATTATATTCGGTCAATCCGTCAATGTAACATAATGTTTTGTTCGCTCTGGTCTTCTTTCAGCTTCATTCTACTTTCCTGTTGCGTCTCTAACTGGTAATATGTGGAACCTTCATACGTTATAGAATGTTTTTACCTTGCTTGATACGAATCATAACATTAGCATAATTGTTTAATATAATTAAAGTAATATAAATGACAGTTATTTGCTCTTTCTTTAATGTATGTTTTCTACTAGTAATATAAATTAACATTCTTATGAGTAACTCTAAATCGATAATAAAATGGTTGTACAAATAATTAGTTTCCGAGAATTGAAATTAAGGATTTATAGATTATCTCATTCTATTTAATGTATAAATCGGAGCTTTGATTAAAGAAAGTAAACATCTCATGTAATTAAAGTTATGCATTTATAACGAAAAAGCATTTGTCGAACAAATATAGAAATCTTTTACAGCAAGCATTTAGAATAATATTGGTTCTTTATTTATCCAAAAGAATACTGATGATTCCTTCGTATGAATTTGCGAATCAAAAATATAAATCGAATGCTACCGTGGGTTGCACAGTTGGAATCTAGTCATCCTCTGATTTATTTAGTCAGTAAGTTTTATTTGACCCGTAACCTTTTAACCCGTATTCCACTCAATTGTTTTTTTATGCCAATTTTAACGATTTTGACTTATTAAATCAACTATTTGTAAAATAAAAATACAATAAATATTTATCCCCTCATTTATTTTATACTTTCTGAATTTTAATAAAAAATATATACATAGCAAGGACGTTGGACAATAAATTGCTTAGTTATTGAACATCTTTTTTGTTTATGTTACAAAATATGTGAACGTGTTGAACTAGTCAATGCACGTGATATTGTTTTTGGGTTCCATTTGAAAGTATTGGTCGTTTACTAGAAACAACACAAGACCATGCAGAAGGAAACAACCAGTTGAATTCCTCAAACCAATTTGGAAGCTTTCTAGAAAGCAACTTCAAATTGATGGAAGCTTCGGGTATGCGTGTTTTATGGTTTTTTTTTTTTCATATTTGATGACTCTCATAGACAATAACAAACATTGGTAATTTATTGCTAGCGAAGGGGAATAGCTTAAAAGCCAGGCTAAAAATATACAAAGGACACAAGCATAAGAGATGACATGTTCTGTTCCTTTTAGCAATAAGAATTTGGACATAAGTTTCTTTGTTTTCAAGCCAACTATTGTAATCATAGATGACCTAGTTCATGGTCTCAAACACTTTTCCTTAACCACTGTGAGCCTTGGTTGTGTTCAGAGCACTATATTTAGGAGCATCCATGGAAATATGGTGAGTCTTTTTTTAATTTTAATTCAATTTCAATTCATTTTAAATAATTTCTCCTAACTTAATTATCTCAGTTTGGAATTGTATGATCTAAATTTCTCTGTCTATTGGATTAATTTGTTTGAAACTTTGCTGATTATAGTTTATGAAAACCCGTTTTAAATCCTTGAACGATACCAATCATAGGAAGACGATAACTGAAAGCTTGCATCCTAATTTGATTATGTTGTATCATCCTTATTTTCAGATTTGTTTTCCACGTGGGATTTTGGACCCACGAGTTCATATTCATGAAGAACTTCTATCTTTCAGTGAATGACAACTTCAGATGCCATTGCTTCATTGTAGTCTACCATCTGTAATGGTTTAATATGTCATCAATCACAGATATATAGTTTAACATCAATGATTGTGCTTGTGTTCAATCAACTAGTTGTTTTTTACCATGTGGCTTCTCAGTGGTAGTCAATTTCCTGAATTAGAAGCAGAAAATTGTAAATTTCGACAATAATTACACTGGTTTCATTGATTAAAGTTTTTCTTGGACCCAACAAAATTCTATACTTCCGCAATACTTATATCGGTTTCATTACATCTACCCCACTACTGATATTTTGTTCTGTTCTGTGTTAGAGCTAATCTCTTTGGGTTCATCTTCTTCGCACTGGCATATAACACACCATCGTTCTGTATCTTTCTTAATTAATTTATTTACTTTGTGATATTTATGCCTTGTAATCAGATCATATGGTATGGAGCATGGCCGAGGCAGTCGAGTAAGGAAAAAGAGGAGTTGACCTTAACCCTTGTAAGTTGGCCCATGACTATTCGTGTCATTTCTTTCTTGAATCTCTAAAATAGAAAAAGTATCCTATTCCTAATGAAATTCATTTGAAAACATTGGCATTTGCTTCAACCAAATTCACTGCAAGCCCACAAAAGTAGACAAATAGATATCATTTTGAGGACTAGTCGTTTAGAATTTCGCTCACGCATCTGTTAAGTATTATAAGCATGGAGACATAAGGAAAAATATTCTTTTGATGGATTGGTCATCTTGTTAGAATATTATCTACTAGATTGAACATTCAAAATGAATAGAAATAGTGTCAATTTTTATTGCCGAAGTGCACATAATGTGATTGTTGTTGCCAAGGACCAACTCTCACAAAAATTTAAGCTATTAGGTGACTTGTTTTATATCTAGCAATTACAATGTTCATTGAGCTCTACCAGTACAATATGGCACATGGGGTTATGTAAATTTGAATCCCATACTGATTTAAAAACAATGTGAAGAACTATGGAAAAGCAGCAACCAGAATTGCTTCCTAACTAATTTTTGGAAATAGAAGAACTGAGACAAATTCCTTTCCTTTTCAGATCTTTTTTATGTACTTAATTATTGTACTGGTGTCGAGAGAGTAAAAAAAAGTCTGAGACCAGGTTTCTTTACTACTTCCCAAAATGATTTTCTGTTTTCTAAAATTTGTCTCCTTAGCACTTTCGAAAGGTGTTCTTGAGTACATTTCGTTTTTGTAAAAATTTATCTCTTCAGCACTTGAAGAGGGTGAGAAACATCTCAGTTGTTTAAGAAACAATTTTCAAAATTTAATAGATTTTGGATGAGAATTGATTGTTGAACAGCGAATTGTATTATAAAACAACTTGTAAAATAAGAAGCGAGAAGAGAATCATGCAAACTCTTTTTCTTTCATTATCTTTCACTTTGATCAAAATACACAAATCATTTTTTCCTTTTATTCATAGTTTATGTATTTATTTATTCTATTGTTGACACTATACAGAAATCAATGTTAAGCAACAACATATCTACCATGGCTGTGTTAACGGACCACAGTTTCCTTGAAGCATATGGTGGAGAATCAAGAGATGGCTCTTCAACTGCAAAATTTTCCACTGGGGACATAATATCCTTGAACTCAGCTGTCACCACTACCAATGACCTTAATGACCTCTGCTACGCTGTCCTAGCAATTTTAAGGTCTCGCTTTGCCAAAATGGAAGGCACAACCTCTGGCCTTTGCTTAAAGGGACAAAGCAAACCCAGAATGGTGTGCATTCATGTCTGGAAGTCTCTTCATTTTTGTTATTCATGGATTCTCAACTCTGACCAAAGAAAATGGATGATGCCATATCTTGAACGTTTTTCCATTGAGATGAAGTATGACATTTTCAGAGTAGTCTATGTTAGTGGTGACAATGTGGTTGATCTTAACTGTATTTCTACTCATCAGATGTTAGAAAATGAGAAAGAGAGTAGTAGGAAAGGGCAGGTTCTACAGAACTGAGACAGCTGCAAAGGTTTCAAGTATATAACCATCATCTTTTGCCAAGTTTTTAATCCCTCTCTTATGTTGTGAATATTGTATAGTACTTTTTCAAATTTAGTTTACAGTTTGGAACTCAAAATTGTATGTTACTAAGTAGCCATGCTCTGACACCTTAACTATTTTTCAAAGCAATACTTTGCATGGTTTTGGTTTCAGACTGCATGGTCTTAATCTTCAGTGAAAGTTAATACAGTGTATGGTTTTGGCTTTGGACTACACGGTCTTAATACTAAGAAAGTATGCACCAAAGGATAGTTATTTTCATTATGATAGCTGGAGATTGAGCAATGCTGGTTGCAATATAATCTGATAAAGCATTTTTAAAATATGCAAGTTTGAAGAAAAATGTTATGGGTCATTAGTTTGGTTGGATTTCAGAACTAGTGTGAAATCTCCTGATTCATTCAGAGTTGACGAGACAAGTTAAACCTACTAATGTGGTTTTAATATTTTGAGAAATTTTATTTTAACAATCGATTTAAAAAAAAAAACATTCATCCCTACATATCTTAATAAAATATTATTATTTATTATTATATTATTTTTTATGATTGTTGATTTTATATATATATATATCATCCCTCTAACATTTTAACCAAAAATGAAAGAAATACTATTTTAACTAAGTATGTTTACAATGCAATTCTTTTTAACAAACTTCTTCTAACACTAATTTATTCAAAATTATAAAATCATAAAGAAAATTTATTATAAACGATGATTTCTAATAATTTTTTATTGAAAATAAAACATATATTAAAATATGTAACCTTTTATTAATAAAAAAAATATTATAAAATATGTCGTCAATATTTTTTTTTATTTCGATTACTCTTGCATTCATTTCCCCCTAATATACTGTCAATTAAAGTTTCAAAAAAATGAGAAATAAACAGTGTAAAAAAGGAAATAAATAACTCCTCGATATATAAATAAATAAAGTTTTTTTTCTCTCTAATTTTGAGTATTTTATTTTTTGTGTCTACATATTATATAATTATTTAAATCTTAAAATATATTTTAGTCTTTAAAATTTAAAAGGTTTCATTGCAAAATAACGTGACAAACGGTCCGTGAAACCTGTTACTCAACGTCTTCTAACAAAATTCTTAAATAAAATAAATAAAATAAAATAAAAACTTAATGATTAAAATAACAAAAATAATTCTATGAAAAAAATAATACCATACAAACTAAATAGCTGTATAAAATTTACCAAAAGCTATTTAATTTAAAATTTTCTATCGTCACCTCACACGCTTCAAAAAGATTGTTCTTTCAATTTCTCCTACTTAGTTTCCTCAGATTGGCGATTCCATTTTCATGCATTTCTTAAGTACACTTCTTCCTCCGTCTTCAGCCAGAGAGAAAGAGAGAGAGGTATGTGTTGATTTTCGCATTTTCCTTTGCTTCCTGATCTCTCACCGACTCAATACCTTTAATTGGAGTAAATCAATTCCCAAACTTTTCACTGATGCCACTTTTGAGGTTCAATTATTATCTCCTGGCAAAAGTTTTAGCCTCCAATTTCCATGCTAACCATTTCCCCTCTATTGCTTTGACCCTTTTTTCTGCTTCTCATTCAACCGCTGGTCTCAGATATCAAAGTGAGGGTAAATGCCGCAACATTAGGAATTTCAATGATGGTTTGGAGAGAGAGGGTTCTGCTTTTCAAGAAAGCTTAAGTTTTGCTGCTAGTGTATGTGATGGGGTAGAAGAAGAAGAGAGCGAGGAGCGAGAGGGGTCTAGTGATGATGAGAGTCTTGACTTTATCACTTCCTTTCGTGGTAGCAACCGCAAACAGAGAGAACGTATTGCAAAAGTTGAACTCGGTGAGAGTGAATTTAGGCACCCTTTGGTGAGGGAAGTTTGTAGGTTAATCGCACTTAGGTCAACTTGGAACCCTAATTTTGAAGGACACTTGAGGCACTCGTTGAGAAGCCTCAAGCCCCCACTTGTTTGTGCTGTTTTGCGCTCTCAGGCTGATGAACGTGTTGCTTTGAATTTTTTCTATTGGGCTGATAGGCAGTGGCGCTACAGACATGACACTGTTGTGTACTATACAATGCTGGATGTTCTCAGCAAGACCAAATTGTGCCAAGGTGCGAGGAGGGTTCTTCGGCTAATGACTCGCCGTGGAATTGAATGCTCATCCGAGGCTTTTGGCTATGTGATGGTGTCTTATAGTCGTGCAGGCAAGTTGAGGAATGCATTGCGAGTTTTGACCTTGATGCAGAAAGCTGGGGTTGAACCTGATTTATCTATATGTAACACTACTATCTATGTTCTGGTGAAGGGCAATAAATTGGAGAAGGCGCTGAGGTTCTTGGAACGAATGCAGGTGACTGGCATCAAACCCAATGTTGTAACTTACAACTGCTTGATCAAGGGTTACTGTGATATAAATCGGATTGGAGATGCATTGGAGCTTATTGCAGGAATGTCATCCAAGGGATGCCCTCCAGATAAAGTTAGTTATTATACTGTGATGGCTTTCCTCTGTAAGGACAGAAAAATTGATCAAGTGAAGCATTTAATGGAGAACATGGTTCAAGATAGTAACTTAATACCAGATCCAGTAACATATAATACACTTATCCACATGCTTTCAAAGCATGGACATGCAGATGATGCTCTTGCTTTCCTAAAGGAAGCAAAAGACAAGGGTTTCCACGTTGATAAGGTTGGGTATAGTGCAATAGTTCACTCGTATTGTCAAAAAGGGATGATGGATGAGGCAAAAAGTTTAGTGATTGATATGTATTCAAGAGGATGTAATCCTGATGTAGTGACATATACTGCAATTATTAATGGATTTTGTCGCTTGGGGAGGATAGATGACGCAAAAAAGATGCTGCAGCATATGTACAAACATGGGTGCAAACCGAATACGGTATCATATACAGCTTTGTTGAATGGTCTCTGTCTTAGTGGAAAATCATTAGAGGCAAGAGAGATGTTAAATGTAAGTGAGGAGCATTGGTGGACCCCAAATGCCATCACTTATGGTGCCGTGATGCATGGGCTTCGTAGGGAGGGAAAATTGTCCGAGGCCTGTGATTTGACCTGGGAAATGGTTGAAAAAGGGTTTTTCCCTACTCCAGTTGAAATTAACCTGTTAATACAGTCTCTCTGCCAAAAACAGAAAGTAATAGAAGCTAAAAAGTATTTAGAGGAATGTCTGCATAAGGGATGCGCCATTAATGTTGTAAATTTCACTACTGTAATTCATGGTTTTTGTCAGATTGGTGACATGGAAGGTGCACTATCTGTGCTAGATGACATGTACTTAAGTAACAAACATCCTGATGCTATCACATATACGACATTGTTTGATGCATTGGGGAAGAAAGGTAGACTGGACGAGGCAGCTGAGTTGATTGTAAAGATGCTCAGCAAAGGTTTGGATCCAACTCCTGTAACATACAGATCAGTAATCCACCGTTATTGTCAGTGGGGTAGAGTAGATGATATGTTGAACTTATTGGAAAAAATGCTCGTTAGGCAGGCATTTAGAACAGTATACAATCAGGTAATTGAAAAACTTTGTGATTTTGGGAACCTTGAGGAGGCTGAGAAACTACTGGGGAAGGTATTGAGAACAGCATCAAAACTTGATGCTAATACATGCCATGTGCTGATGGAAAGCTATCTGAAAAAAGGGATTGCTCTATCGGCGTATAAAGTGGCCTCTAAAATGTTTAGACGTAATTTGGTTCCTGATTTAAAATTGTGCGAGAAAGTGAGCAAGAAGCTGGTGTTAGATGGTAAGTTGGTCGAGGCTGATAACCTTATGTTACGATTTGTTGAGCGTGGAATACAACAAAAATGAGATGCATTTGTGTAGTTAGCTGCTATTCTAAGCGTAAGTCTCATAGCAACGATTTTGTTTTCAATTTCCTTTATCATATTCCTTTGCTGGTATTCCATCGTGTAGCCTTCCATGTAGCAAGCATTTTTGTGGGAAAAATGATAGTTTTGATGATCTTGTCAATTTTTAAGTTCAGTCACATATTGCTTTCCCTTTTCTAAGTTCCCTAAAGCATTTTAATGTGCGTTTGGTAGAATTTCTTTTATTTGGATAATAAAGCAATACTAAATTGTGCAGCTTATAGATTAGTTTTTACTAAATTTAAAGGTCGCATATCTAAATTCTGGTGAAAGTTTGATTGTGAGAAAGGTTAAAGTTTTTAAATTCTTCATTCAGTAAATTGTTTGATTCACTGATTATTTTAAAAAAATAATAATAACCATACATATGATTACACTTCAAAATTAGTATTACTTTGCCAATGAAATAAAATAAATGATTTAAAATCCACAACATCATTTTTATATACAAATCCATATTTTAACAAAAAATAAAACCAACATTGAGTTGACTTAAATGTTAAAAAACTTATCTTAAATTGATATCGAGCATGATTTTCGGCTAGGCAAAAACCATGGCCAAACAAGTTCTACGCAAGTTGAAACAAGAAGCTGAGAACTAATGTATATAAGTCACAAAATGTCCACCTTTCAATTGTTAAAAAGGAAGATTCAAAATGTTTGGGTGCTGCGTGGTGGAGCATGAAGGACTCTAAAACATTAATTTGATCACCTTAAACATTCTCAATTCTTTACAATTAAATTTCCCTCTCGGAAACAAAAAACTAAAGAATTTAGAACTGAATTTATTGTCTCCCTAATAAACTGAACCAGAACTGCAAAGAGGTTGATGCATTGTATTGATTGTAATGTGGAAGTTTACTCAAAGTAAACCTTTAGTACATTGGCTTACTTTGAATCCACGTCCTACATTGACTTTGCTGTCCAAAATATTTATGTTTAATTGTTTACTTCATTCTGTAATTGGTTAAAGTAGAGTTTTAACCTCTATATGAGAAACTTATAATAACTTATCTAAAGAAATAGATTTAATCCTAAAAGAGCTAAAAATTATTTTTTTATAAATTGATGAAGATGGAGGAAATCCACTTCCATTAAAATTAATTTTTTTATAAAAATTAATGTCCTGAGAGAGGTCATTCACTAATCATAACCATTTTGTCTGTTATCTGAACTCTAATTATATTAAAAATCTAATTCCTAAAATGAAACTTTCCCTTTGCATGTGAACAACATCCAAAATACTAAAAAGACTGTAAGTATTGTTGACACTACTCTTCCGTTGCTAGAGTACGAAGAACCCTCAAATGTTTAATTTTATCACTAATTCATTCTCTGTTTAAACTTCGCCGTAAATTATTCTGACTCCCCACATGACATTTTTTTACGAAAAGTGCACTACTTGACTTGCTTTGAATCCTCGTATACCAATGATAGACCAGAACGAACAGCACGAATCTCTTAGGTAATGAAACCGTGATATCTAAGTAATTAACAAGAATTCCTCACTTGTTTTCATATATTACTAGGCTCGCGTGACTAAATAACAAAGTAAAAATGAAACAGACAATAAATTCATATATATAGTGCCATAGTAAAAAATATTCCATTAGACATAAAATTAAAGTTTCATTTTCCAAAACAGCTTCAAACAACGTCCTAGCAATGTTCTAAATATAAAAGACAATCACAAAAATATCAAACTTCAACTAGTGAGAAACAGACTACAGAGAAATATCAATGAAAATCTTCTCCTTGATCCCTCAACTAGTACCTTTACAGGTCTTGGACGCTCAAACCTGAAAATCATCAAAAACAATTTAAGTTGAAGGGCAATAAATAATCAAGACCATATAACAAAAACTAAAATAATAAAAAATGAGTGCCCACAAAGATAATAAAAGCATAAAACGATTACTAATGATTAACCAGTCCAAAATTTATTTGCTCAAAGAAATTATATCCCCTCATCCAAAATACTTTTCAATTTGTTATGGATATATCACAATTGGCGTTAGGCATACAAAGAGTCAAAACTGAACATCATATACTATAATAAACATAAAATCACAAACTACAAGTTCCATTACTAACCTGGAGGAAGTGATTGCTTCAATTTATCAGCTTTCTCTGGGTCGAACACACACAGTGTGTAGAGATACTTGGAGCATCTGACCTTGAACTTAACCACATCTCTGCTCCTCTTGATCTTCACCGACCTCGCATCCTTCCTTCTGGCAGTGAGAAGGAAGTCCTTAATCTCGTGAATTTGCTTAGGCTGCGTAGAAAGTACAGAACAAGCATTAACAGCGATTTCAAAAATAACGAACATGTATAAAAGCAAATAATTCCAAATTTATTGACCACCAAATCATGAGTAAACTAAAAATATATATATATACAGAGCCATTAGCTACACAATCTAACTGCACGGTCACCCACATCTATGAATAAAAATGGCAAAGCATAATCAAGCACCAAAGCTGATATTAGACAATAAAAACTCTTTGAAAACAAAAGCCCTAAATAAGTGTATTATATAACACTAACTAAATCTAATTATGCCCTTACAGTTTCATTTCTATCACCAACAAATCGATAACGCTACAATTTCACTAACTTCATCTCACTCCTTTGCACCAAGTAATTCGACAAAGAAACAGGTATTCCAACATTCTTACAAAGAAACTCGATTAGAAAAGGAGATTTAGTTGATCCGTTCTGATTAGAAGCATAACAGAAACTAAAAACAAATGAGACAGATATATGATTGAAAAGAGAGAACGAGCAATCACCATGGTTGCGATGGATACAGAGGTGACAAAGAACAGGGCGCAACCAAATGTGCTGTAAATTGTCAAACTAATGGCAAGTGCAACTAATAAACCCTAACCCTAGAGTCTCTCATTCCTCCAGAAGCCCAAACTATGTTTCGGCCCGTGGGCCTCCTCCACTTGTTTCCAGCCCAAATATGGAAGTAAGCGTGAAATAATTGTTTTTGAACATCAAGTTACATTTCGGGATTATATAATTTGAATTATTTGTAGTATTGAACTTTTAATTATTATTTTTTTACCCAGTTGAATATTTCCAACTTCAAATTTAGGTAAATGTAATTTTATTTTATTTTACTTAAAACTTTTAAACTCTTTTTTTTTACTCAGCAAATAAGAAAAATAGGCATTCCATCTTTAAACTAAAAATTATCATCTAAAAGACTTCAAAAGTATAAGCATCTTGATCGAGGATCAAATTTGTGATTTTTTAAAAGGGTTAAAATATCAATACACTAAAATTATGGCATCCATCAAGATATACTATATTTTAATTTGTTTTGTTCAACCAAGATATACTCTTTTTATGGAATCGGATTTTCATTAGTTTCTGAAAAAGAAAAAGAAAAAAAATTCTACACTTGTTTGATCATGCAATCTTCAATGCGCATGCAACAACACACCACCACGGTACTACTATACGAATTGGGCTTTCGATTAAAAGGCCTATACGATGGTTTTGGTTTTCCTTCTAGCATACTAATTGGGCTTTCGAGTAGAATGCCTATACGATAGTTTTGTGTCCGGTATCCACGCTGGCCCAATATTGAGAAAATATAGGTCCACGACTTGTTTAATTTTTTTTTAACTCTTTAATTTTTAAAAATATTTTTACAGATCAATTTTTGAAAAAAAAAATTATTTTCAAAAATAAATTGTAAAAAATAACCATAATTTGAAAACTGTTTTAGCAAAAAAAATTCAAAAACATTAATGTTATAAAATAAAATTGAAAGCTAAAAAAAAACAATATTTATCCATTTAAAATTTTTAGTTTTTAAAAATTTAAAAATAAAAACTTTTTTCAAGGAACCCGTTATCAAAAAGAAAATTCCAATTTTTTAAAAATTAAGAAACTGAAAAGTATTTAATTTCAAAATGTAATGGTTTACTAATTTATCAATGTACTTTTGTATGTTTCGAAATGGGTATTTAATTTCAAAATTTCTGTTCTTAGAAAAGAATATTATTGAAAGAAGTCTTGATCATCCGAAGGGATCCCCAGTTTTACACGTGAATTCATCATTAAAATTTACTAAATATCATTGAAATAAGTGTATAAAATATGATATTCATCAATCCAATCCAACCATAAAATTTACTAAACATGATTTGTGAAGTCTTGAAAAGATAATCAAAAGATTATTGTCTTCATTTATTCGAACTTAACTGAAAAATTTAATTGAATAAACTGACAATGCAAATAATATCCTAATTACAGTTAGTTGTATAATTATATACATTATATTTATATTAATTACTTTGAAAATCATGTACGGATTTATAAATAAGCTTTGAATACTTTAAGAGTGATATTTAAGGTCTTAAAGTACAACAATAAATCATGATTTACAAGTTCAATCGCTTTCAAGTTTGTGTGAATGAGTTTAGTTAATTCATTGAAATGCCTCTAAAATAACTTGAACAGGGCCTGCCATGAGAGAGTAATTACAAATTATTGCTACTTAATTAAGACCCAGAAAACCCTCCGTACAGAAATTCCGTATCCTTCGTACACAACAGTGGTTACTTACAACCTTCTACACATTGCAGTATTGGCAATTCCTTGTAGATTAGTCACTCTCACCACAACAACAACCAAAGATAAATATACAAGTTGAAACTTTTTTAGATAACTAATACGATATAGTTGTTTGCATTATGCTTAAGGAAAATTTGATGACAAAGGTGTGTGCATGTGTGCACGTGTTGGTAGAAACGTTTTTGGTCATATTGTGGGTGACAGAGGGGAAGCAGAGAGTAGAGTCAGTGGGAAGAAACAAAAAAAGAAAGGAGGGTGAGTTGAGTTGAGTGAAGTTATGATGGTTGAAGAATGAATGAGGAATGAAGAAAACTTGGCACCTAAAAAATATAAAAAGGAGTGGGGTTGGAGTGGTTGGGGTGGCATGGCATTGTATTATTATTGAGGATAGTGCCCTACCTGGTCACCATTCCATAGCCAGAAAAAAGGTCCTACAAATAAGACAGCCCCACAACATGCACCAAAACAAAACACTCAACTCCAACTTATTTAATCACCCATTTCCCACTTGGGGAACCTAGCTACCTAGTCACTTCCACAACTCAAAAAGCTCACCCCAATACCCTACCCTCCTTCTTCTACCACCCTCTTCTTCGTGCCTTCCATTCATTCAAACGTGAATTGCTTTTCAAAACAATCAAAAAGACTCCAACCTAAAATGATTAAATGAATAATGGCACTGTACGGTATGAGAATGAACTTCTCTTCTTATCACTGTCATATCTGCCGACACCAACACGTTCTAACATTTGATTTCCCGCAACAAATGTGTAAGGACATGTTTATTGTAAAGAATAATTTTCATACGTTAAATTTTGCGGATTGTACGTCTCCATTTTGTTCCCATATCGTATAAAATGGAATTTTTATTCATGCAAGAATTTGTGAATGTATAGCTGGAAAAGGATCTAGATCCTGTAGTTTCTTTTTTCTTTTTTCCAGTTCTATGAATCTCAATAACTAATATATCACAGTTTAAAATCAAGTTATTAAGTTATAAATCTCGTACGGATTTTCTAAATTTGGCCTACATTTAACAGTGACTTCTTAATATTATATCCACACGTTAAACATAAAGATGGAATAATACAATATCTTTAAGTGGGCCCGCCTTTTCATTAAATTTTATTTACTTTTATACCTAACATTATAAAGAGAAAGATAAATAAATAAACTTATATTTCTATCTATCTATCTATCTATATATATATATACCATCCCAGCCAATCCCTGCATTTCCCATTTACCGTCTAGTCAATACCTGAATCAATTAGCACAAATTATTAGTTCATTTCTCTACCCAAAAAACATGCAGTAGTAAATTTTATTCATTCTTAACAATGATTGTCATGTTAAAGTTGACTTATAGTTACACCCATTTAGGAACTACGCTATTTCTACGTGTTGTCCATGAAACTTGAACTTAGACAATGTTGCAAACACTTGGGACAGTAGGTCATGAAAGCATGCATGATTAAGCAAGATAGAAATGGACAAACGCACACAGCTTTTTTACTTTGTTATTGATGAAGCAGAAGCATTTAGAACCAAGGTGAAAGGGTGCATGTCCAAAACCAAGAACACGACAAAGCGGGCCACTTTAACATTAATAGAAGGACATGGTGATTTGTTTTCCATCCCTGTATGATCAGAGAGACACATCACATGGCTTTGGTGTCCTCTTCATGTTCTAAGGGTCACAACCTCCTTTTCCCAAATGCATTTATCCATCACTCAACCAATTCATGTACTCCAACATTATCAACAGTGCCATATGCACCTCTTAATTGACCAATAATCTTTCATGCTTCATAATAGATTCTACCAAACATTTCAACCAAAACTCATTAAAGGTGACAACAAGTTCTACATCACCTCCACTCCATTGTCCACTATGCTCCATAATGCACCCCAAACATTTTGTCAAATCCAAACTAGAAAACAAAGTTTCGTACAAGCTAAGAGAAACTATCTCACGCATTGATTTCCTAACGGATCAAGTATCGTATATATTGTAGCTAGCACATTGACTAGATGCCATATAGTTACAGTATTAGTTTATGAATGGTCCTAGCAGGAAAAACACGAAAACAAAATCCAACGGCTAAAGAGTAGGCTATATAGACTACATCAGGCAAGTGCTTCTCACCGTACACAAAGGGTTGAGAAGCAAGAGTAATAATATTACATGTGATAGAAGAAATACAGACTATTAACAGTCACATGATTTCAGTAGTCTAAAGACCCCACAGCTGTTATTCCAGTGCTTAAATTTCTTGGGTCTTGACGGCTCACATAGTCATCACAGATGCCATTAGAGAGCCTTTGAATTGGAATCGAATTCAAGAGCTCAAGGCCAGGGTTCCCCATTTGCTGCACTTCCTGAGGAGAAAGTATCTTTATGCACCATACACTATTTACGAATTCCCTGTGTCAAATATGTGCAGAAAAAGGGCACAATCATTAGATTTTTTTTTAAAATAAACTCTCAAATCCACCACATAAAAAGGATCACCACCATATGAAAGGCTAAAAAGCAATTTAATGTAAGTTCATACTATTTCATTATTTCAGAAGGATATGGTTAATATTTATAAAAACTACCATATCGTGTATGTATAGCAAGTCCCTTACTTTATCTACCTTCCAAAAATTAGTACTTAAAAGGGAAAAAGGAAGAAAAACAAAGAATATGATACGTGATGAAGTATAGAAGACTTACGGCCAGGGGCCATC